ATTTCAAGTAAGCGATTAAGGAAATTAATTAGCCTGATTGATTGTATCGCTGACAAGTACCAAAACTTTGTGCAACTTTCAAGTCTGCTTGTAAACTTTGATCTCGTTTTCAGTAATCTTAAGTCACTTAAAGCTCGTACAAACCAGGGAGTTTTTACTTTGTTTCATCATCCGAAGCCTAATTAGGCTTTGAACTATGAAGTGCAATAAAAAAGCGACAGCTTGAAAAAGTTTTACAACAAAAATTTTTATTTCGCTTAACACATCTCAAACGCAAGGAAATGTTTTTAAAACCAACTATAAATATACATTTTTCCTATTTCTGGAAATTCCATCTGATCATTGCATTTACGGTCATAGACTACTTCAGGTTGTTGATTTAAATCTTTATTTAAATCAGTACCTCACAGTAGTAGAACAGTTGTTGAGAGTGGGCTCCTTGTTCCTATTATGGGAATATCGGGCTCTCTCTGAGCAACTAATTGATATTTCATGCCCCCGGATGAGAGCCAGTGCTCCCCATCTAATCGGGGCATGCAATATCAATTCTGCTTTCCTGCCAAATTTGGCTCGAAAGTGTGATAATAATATTTCTTGTAACTTTAACCAAGTATTAGTAAGTTAATCCTCAGTTGTACTGGACGATATCCCTGGTATGCCAGTGGTATGGTAGACCATTTAATTGAATATTGGTGCTTGGAATTTAATAATCTTCTGCACAAGGGTGCTCTTGTACCATTTTTATAATTTACAATGGCCCCTGTAATTAAATTTGTATCACTATCAGAGGAGCCGCTTTCTCTGAACCAAAACTATGTGATAAATTCAATTAAAAACTGCAAAATACCCGAATAGAAAAGTATTTAGAGATTGAAAGTACAATACTTTAAAAAAAGAGAGGCTGGGCCAAGATAGCCCACGAGAGGATAGCATTGAGATGCTCTGCCTACCTCTGGGGTGTGGCAACCCTGGGGAAGGTTGCCGGTGAAATCAGAGTGAATGGTGGAGGATGGTGTAAGAAGTGATATGAGTCAGAATGATATGCTTAAGGGGAGATACACCAAAAACGTTTTTGCTCCGAACATCGATTTTATTTTATATTATGGTCAAATAGACAACAACAAAAAAGATTGCACACCTTCAAAATTTTCTAAAAATAGTCCCTCATCGAGAAAAAAATATTTTTCTTTTTCAAATATTTTTAAAATTTGGAGAAGTCTGTCACTGTAATACCGATAGTTCGGCTATTTAAAAAGTTGTTTGACTGATTTTTTTACTAAACATTACTTACAATCAGTACAAGAAGCCCTTCAAAGGATTTTATAATTAAAATATAGATGACGAAGTTACAGACCAAACAAGGTCGAGAGAAGCAAATTGAAATTTTTGTAAAAATCAGAGTTGTATATTTTACCATTCACCCAGGGCATAAGATATCGCTTCAAAAATTCTTGTGAGTGTAGCTGATGTGTTCCAATTTTTGGAACAGGATTTCTCTCAATTTTGAGTTTTAGGGTATGAAATGTGGCCTCAAACGACTTAGTAAAATTCATCGTAAAAAAGGGCCAAACATGGCAAATAACTCAAAAAGTATCAATTTTTTGAAATAATTTTTACAGAATCGTGATCAGCTTGAGAAGAATCTTTTAGTACCAAATAGGTGATTTTAGAAGACAAATTGTCTTAAATAATTTTCCAGCTCGAACACAAGGGTCCCCCCTTGTATAAATTTTGTACAAATTTTACACATTTTTTTACAAATTTTGTGTCTTTAACTATTATAAATTTGGTATTTAAAGATTCGTCTTCTCAAGCTGATTACGATTCTGTCAAAATTATTTCAAAAAAACTGATACTTTTTGAGTTGTAGGCATTTTAAGGCTTAAATCTGCCATTTTTGGCCCTTTTTTACGATGAATTTTACTAAGTCGTTTGAGGCCACATTTCATACCTTAAAACTCAAAATTGAGAGAAATCCTGTTCCAAAAATTGGAACACATCATCTACACTCACAAAAATTTTTGAAGCGATCTCTTATGACCTGGGTGAATGGTAAAATATACAACTCTGATTTTTACAAAAATTTCAATTTGCTCCTCTCGACCTTGTTTGGTCTGTAACTTCGTCATCTATATTTTAATCATAAAATCCTTTAAAGGGCTTCTTAATGTACGGATTGTAAGTAATGTTCAGTCAAAAATCAGTCAAAAAACTTTTAAAATGGCCGAACTATCGGTATTAGGGGTCGTTCACATATGACGTAATCAGCCGAGGGGGGAGGGGGGGGTTTACAAATGCTTACGGTTGATTACGGGGAGGGGGGGGGGGGGGTTCGGTCGTTGATTACGTAATCAAAATTTTCTTTTCTACCCTCTAGAATAATAACAATTTGACGATATTTTAATTCAAATTCCACTCAATTTCACTCTGATAATGATAAAATTTAGAAATTGATCGAATATCCGGCTATAATAGTAAGTAGTTTAGAAGGTGCTTGGCCGGATATCATAACAATGATTTCGGCTCATCATGATAGCATGATCAGGGTATCATGAAATGTAGAGAAAAGTGTTTTCTAGGAAAAAAGTCAAGGGGGGGGGGGGGGGGGGGGTTCAGGCCATGATTACGTAATATTGCTGTCAGGAGGGGGGGGGGGTTGGGTCTTGATTACGGTTGATTACGGAAGGGGGGGGGGGGGGGTAAAAATTGCTAAAATATTGATTACGTAATATGTGAACGACCCCTTACAGTGACAGACTTCTCCAAATTTTAAAAATTTTCGAAAAAGAAAAATATATTTTTTTCTCGATGAGGGACTATTTTTAGAAATTTTTGAAGGTGTGCAATCTTATTCTTTTTGTCTATTTAACCATAATATAAAATAAAATCGATGTTCGGAGCAAAAACGTTTTTGGTGTAACTCCCCTTAAATGCCAGCTGGGTTTGGAAAAGTAAAACGAGACGAGACAGCATATGAGATAATACTTTAAGTCACCCCGGTCTGATCCAGCTCTTCCGGCACAATTAAGCGTTTGGTGCGGTTTGCGAAATTGACAATTGTGGTGATGTGTTGGTTGTCGAATATGTCATTGACAGAGAGATAGTAGTCCTGGCAATATTGACCTCTAATTTGGGCAATAGCCGGACTCTGTTCAAGGAAGTGTGAGACAGTTTCCTCTCCGTCGCTGCACATAGGACAAGCACTGGTGTTTGATTTGCAAATGGTGTGAAGGTGTTTGTTTAAGCCGCAGTGACCCGTGATGAGGTGAACTGCAGTTCTGTAATCTTGTCTGTTGTTGCTGAGTGTAGTGTTGAGGTTTTGATGTTTTTGGCGTGCTTGTGGCCGAGTGTCAGTTTGGTGTGCCTGGGAACGTCATTTAACCAAGTTTCCTGATTCAGTCTGTTGACTTTGTTGTCGATTTGACGCTTGATGTAGGATTGTGGAATTGGACACTTCAAAGTGGATTCACTGATTGTACCAAGCTTGGCCAGCTCATCTGCTTTTTCGTTCCCCCACAATCCGATGTGTGCTGCAATCCATCGTATCTCTAGCGTGTTGTTGGATCCGAGTGCATTAAGAGAGTCGTAACAGTCTCTTGTAGTTCTACTCCGCGTTGAAAGCGCAGTGATAGCTTGTATAGACGAGAGACTGTCAGTCCATATGATGATATGTGTGTTGGTATAGGTAGAGAGATATTTGCAAGCTTCAATGATGGCGGTGAGCTCTGTTTGGTAAACAGTGCAATAATCAGGGAGCTTGAATGATCTTTCTTCAAGGTTGGTGTAATTGTTGTCAGTTGTGATGATATAGCCAGCCCCGCATCCTGAGTCTGTGAGTGACCCGTCAGTGTAGCAGGTGACCGTTTCACTGGTGATGTTGTCAATGGTGTTTTGAAGTGAATTTCTATATTCAGTGTTATCGGCTCCAGGAGTTGTGACTGTGAAGTGCCGTCCCAGCATCATGGTTGGTGTTGTTAGGTCTCTCGTTGCTCTGGGTGGGATAATGAGATCTGCCATGAATTGTTTGTTGATAGTGGTATGATTTTTGATAGTTCCTTTCCTGAAGGCGATAGTTTCAAGAGTGAGGCTGTCATAAGCTTGTAGCCTGGCTGCACCCTTTGCTGCTTCGCCTTGCAGGAAGTATAATACTTGGAAATAACTCTCTTACACAGATTCATTATTCAGCTTGAGTTGAAAGAGGGGTACGGGGACGGGGGGCCTAGAGTTATGACAAAAATTTGGTGAGGTCAACAGATTAACTAAATTATACTGGAGAGCTGGAGCACGATTTTGCAATACGAATTTTTTGTATCTGTAAAGAAAGTCCAATACATTCTAGTTTCAAAGGTTTGGACGGTGAAAAATTAATTACCAATAAAATAAATGAAATTATGGACGAATCTCATAAAATCTGGAGCTGTCTTCTAATTCAAATTAGTCTAACCTAATCTCTAACCACTCAGGATTTTGTTTCAGCTCCCAGTATTAACAAATAACTGCGATTGAACCGAATTTTCGTTAAATCGATATCTCGAGAAACATTTGACAAATTATGGAGCAATGATCTTCATTTTAACACGGTCATGATCATGACCGTCATAATTATGACCGTGTTAAAATCAAGATCTTTGCTCCATAATTTGTCAAATATTTCCTTCTTAAACATTTGCTGTGAGTTGTGATAAATTTGATGACGTAAACAGATTATATTATATCGGTGTACGAGGTTGCAATACGAATTTGATATGTGATTTAATTTGTATCAAAAATACAAATATTCGCTTCACAATTTGTCAAAAGATTTCCTTTTCGAATATTGACTGTGAGTTGTGACAAATTTCATGACGTCAATCGATTATATTGGTGTTAATTCACAGTAAATCTATTGTTTTACTGATGCACGAATATATTATATCTGTACTGCAAATTCACTAGATTCCAGTATTAGAAAGTATTATTTATTTTGACAATGGAACAAATAAAAGGAGTATTTCAAAATTGAAACTGTACATTAAATAGAATAGAATTTGTGGGATACATTCTGTAAAACATTGTCTGCCTCTATTTGAATTACAAAATTACAAATAGTTGCACATGCAATTGGACTATCTACATAAAATTTAAGCAAATATCAATTATCAATAATTTACTTCTCAATTGTCTTAGGACTCAAATTTGGCCCGATCTTGCTTAATTGTAAAGCGTTTGTTGATCGAATGCAATACATTGTTCAATGATTTCATATAAAAGTCTATCAAATAAGCTTCCTAATATAAAATGTCTCAAATTTGCTTTACGCAGATATCCGTTCAACCTTTTTATATCTTCTAGTTCTTATCACCATCTCTTCTTTTTCAAATTCTGCACTTAGATCGTCAACTTTTCTCCTCCATCTCCACTTCTTCTTCAAAGATTTCCGCATCATTAACTTTAAATCCTCATCATATAACACGCGGAATTTGCAGCAGAGTATATTGGTATCGCTCAAGCATATACTTGAAATAACCGGTTTTCAGACATGTCCACGTCTGCCCCTGTAAATAGGCCTCACTCGACCATGCAGTCCACATCATTCACAAGAATGGTAGTGCTGTTGCTACTGGTCTTCTGACAAAATGTGTCCTGTTGCTCAGTTCTTGACTCTGAAAGATTCAATGTGTTAGATTTATCGAAATTCATGTCCAGTCTGAACAGGTTTAAGTTTATAGATCGAGGCGACTTTGATATTAATAGGTATCGTTTAAGGAGCCGGGAAGACCGTTTAACTTTAATCCACAGAATTTGTAAAACATTCGGCAGAAGTCGAATCACTGAATACGTAGTAAATCACGGGATTCAAGTAAAAAGATAACTTACTGTAGCAGGAGATAGTTGCATTGGTCAGAAGCTTGACAAGAGGGGTAGAAACTGGCATCAGTACCATCGACAGAAACAGAATCAGCTGAAAACAATGGATTATTAGAGAATTATATTTGAAGATTTGGTGGGTTTTGTTATAGGTTTTAATCTATTTTTAATGATATGGCTTTTTCAATTTCTTCATAACTACTAAAATTACAAAGAAGCTTATTAGTGTTCCTATGTTTGAACGTACCATTTGGTTTGGCATATCTTCTGGATCCCAGCTGGTGAGGATGGTGCTGACTCCGAAATAGTTAGCAGTCAGAGCCATTCCAATCCCCATCATGGGGGCGTAGCAAAAGAGGAGCGCTCCTGCATTTACCAAGCTCGTGGAATCTGAGGAATGCGTTTTGTAATAAACCTGATCTATGTTTTGTAACCCTTTAACCTTAATTCTTAACGTTTTTTCGTTGGAATCAGCTGATTATAAAACTCGGAATGTTTATTGACTTCACCGCTAAAAGGTCTGACCTCGGCGGTTAAATCCAGGTCCTCATTACGTCAACAGTAAACGTGACACTGTGCTACCATAACTAGATAATTGACTAATGACGGACCAAACATTCCTTAACGAAATATTTCAAATTACCTTGTGACTTGGCACAGAAACAGGTTATCATCCCAACTGCCACCATCACAAACATCAGGGCAAATGGCAGCACGCTCAGGATGATGTTGTAGCCCAAAGTGGACTTGAAAATTTGATCGTTGGTCATGGTCTCGTAGTCCAGGTAGAAGATTTGGTCAGCGTAATAAGTACAGAATCCTTCTTGTCCCATTAGGTAAGTGGTTCCACGGAGGTATGGGAGTACGGCGAAACCGATACTGATCAGATAACTGAGGGTGGGGATAGGTTAGTGATAAGATACTGCATAATGACAAGATAAAATATGATAATGATGCAATCCAAAAGAACTATAATCGTTTACAAGGAAAATTGGTTTGCTGTTAAATAAATAAGTTGTAGTTGATATTTAGTCCCTGCATGCCATGAAATAGATACCAAGTTTTAAAGCAAGAATTCAGAGTTAAATAAACTTGAAACTTACCCAATAATGACGGTTCCAGCTCCAGTCCATCTTAGGGCAGCGCTCTCTTCGGATTTCTTCAAGCCCATGATCACGTGACCGAGAACTAGGAAGAAGGAGACACGGTGAGACATGTCCGTTAGAGGTCCGATTATGGTGCAGAGAACTCCCGTGTCAGGGTAAGAGAGGTTCCAGATTCCGGATACTATCCCGATAGTCAGGCTGAAGGGGTGGGGGTGTTAGTTTTACTGTTTTCTTGTCCTTAATAACGCCATATTTTTGAGGAATTTTTTAGATCTAAAGTTCAATCTAAGTTTTGTTCGATAAGAATATCAAAAAATAATTAATGTTAGATGAAAAAATCATGAAAAGACAGGAAATTAAAAACTCACCATCTTAAGAAGTCCCAAAAGAGAATTTGGCAAGCGATAGAGGCCAGCATAACTTTAACACCCAGCTTCTTCTTGCTTCTCATCAGTGTTGCAAGTCCGTAGAAGCTGGCAGTCAAGCTCAAAGCCGTGGTGGCGAGGATAAGCGGAGTAAAAGATTGATCCATTGTCGTGTAGATTGTTATAGCTAAATGGGTTGTTGTCGTTAATTAAACCGGTCGATTAAATTAAGTGTTTGCTTTTTATCAATCAACTGTAACAACAACAAAAATGGGCACAACACATTGGTAAATGATCAAGCCGCACACTTATTAATTTGAAGTATATGATCGGTAAAAGATACGCATGTGAATACAAAAATTTCAAAATATAAAACATAGCGCATAACGGCTGGTAAAAGAAGTGTGAGCCAATATTTTGGGGACATCTAACAAATCTAGCGTCAAAATCAAAATGTGAGACCATTAACTTGGCAGGCGGTTTTTAACCCCCCGAGGATCCATAAGCATTCCTCAAATTTCGAGGAATGTCGCTCACGCCCTAATCTCCCCAGGCTAATTGCTCGGAATGCGACTCTTTGTGGGTGACCAAGGCGTAATTTAATTCGAGGGCATTGAGCAAATATTCTGCGTCTAACGGGCCGAGATGGAACCGCCAAAACTCTGAATTTCGGGGGCCCCGTTCCCGAATAAACGGGGCACATATGCCAGTTATGCTGATTCATAAGTTACGCTGATCAACTGTCTTGTTGTTACATGGGATAATGGCATTACGTAAACGGTGTAACGAGCCAATGGTAGGGTTGTATCGCAGGCCGGTAGTAGAGATTATGAATTGAACAAAGTAAACGTTATATTGGCTGACGTCAGTAAGCGTTGCTTTGAAGCCTAAATTTTATCCTTATAATTCCAGGGAATTACAGGATAAACTTGCAACACTTATTTCAAGAATTGGATAAGTATTACATAGTTCAAACTTTCAAAGTAATCGTGTATAATTCTAGAAGCCCAAAACCTTGCAAACAAGTTACCTGCACAAAGCACATATTTCATCAAAATAGTCTAAATAATTTCATTTTTACATTGCAATTGCCTCTGATGACTAATTTCAATTACTTAATTGCTCCGGGCAACTGGGCACACTACTATTTTTTTCCTAAAATTACCGCTTTAACATTCCAACGTTTCATCATTTATTTTTAACCAGGCAAAGTATGTGAGTGCAAAATCACGTACGGATATAGACGCGATAGTAATGAATTTTAGATACGAATATGACGAAACTTTTAGTAGGGTTATCCTAGACAAATACAAGAGCCTTGATACAACTGACTTGCACTCAAATCGATGAATAAATGATAAATATCTGATATGGCAGCTGTTTAGCCACACACAAAACATATCCTAGTACTTTGTTATTTTAACGATCTTAGTGCAATCACACCACGCACAGTTATATGTTTTTATCCTGATAATTCAAGGTTCACCGTACAAATTAATGCATTTAATATGACGGCTAATAGTCCAATTAACTGAACATCGTAATGCAGGAAGTTGTAATTTGTTGGCGTGTTTGTTGTTGTTGTTAAACCCCGGGGGACCACAGCTGTTATAAAGTTAACAACGAACATGCCAACCAAAACAAGGTGTCTCAATGAGATTAAATAATGTATCAAATCTTACATATTTCAGAGATAAATTATAATTGAGTGTAATCACACAGACAAGCATTTCAATAGAGCGATGTGGATCTTTGAATGGCTCATTTAAGTTAGGTTTATAGGTGATGTCTTAGTTATACAAGTATTACAAATATAGTAATAGTATAGAGGTCTCGTTTTACAGAATCACCCGCTGTGTCATCAGTTCTTGCTGGTATTATTATACTACCATGTCATTCTTCACCATCATTATTTCAAAACAATTGGATGTTGTAATGCAACATATGCAAATGAAGCTTGTACTGCACTGATATCTATCCCTTCTATTGGCTGCTAAACAAATGCTTGCTCGTGATTGGTCAAAGATACAGCAATGCTTGTGTAGGATTGGTGAGGAGGCGTGACAAGCAGAGCAAGCAAACTCCATTGTCCTGCACGGAGCTGCTTAACGAACTATTGATGCACTGGCTAGCTCATCGAACATTTTCAATGACTGGTAATACTTTGAGATTTTCATTATTCGTGTAAGGCCGTACAGTATGATTGGTTTGAAGAGCTTTGTTTTAGTTTTACTGGTTCTTGGAGCGGATTTTAAAATCCTAACTGGGACTGTTGATACATTTGAGGTAAATGAGGACCCAAAACTCTTACTTGTGCTTGTAATCCAGGGAGATCTAATCATGTTTTGGAAATCTTATATGCTGACCATTCCACTGAGCTTATTTACATACTTTCAGAAAGCTTCCATTATTTGACTTTCATCTATATTGTATTTTTTTCTATAAGAGTACGAGTTATTTAACTGTAATTATAATCAGCGAATTATCTTCAGAATTTTCACTTTTTGGCCCGGTTCTGTTTTCGACCTCACAACGGAAAAGCTTCCTTTACGTTTACTTATAGACGGGTTTGTATGGGAATCGGGAAATTCTGTTTTTTTTCCCGATATTTAAATTATCCTCATGATAGTAAGCCCAATTGTTTCTTCAAAATAAAAGATTGACGCTTAGTAATATAAATGTTTTCGAGCAAACAACGAGTTATTTCTCCCCTCTCTCAGGAGAATGTGGATAATATTTTACCTACCTACAATTCACTGCTAATGTACTACGACGGAATTAAACAATGGGATGCTGCCTACAAAACTCCAATGGTAAGTAGCTACCTATAGTTATCTAGTAGTTACTAGTAGTTATTAGTAGTTACTAGTAGTTACTAGTAGTTACCATTTGTTACCAATAGTTACCATCAGTTACCATTTGTTAGGAGACCTCACGATAACAGAGCTCCTTACTGGCGGAATTGCTTTTTTGTTAAAACTTTTACGTAATCCTGCAGCACAGATTGGTAGGAATGTTAAGAATCATGACTAATCTTTAAATATCATCTCGATTACATAGCATGACTTTATGGCTAGGTATTAGGTAATCAAAAGCGAAATTCATAACACTAATTTCCCGTTCAATGATTTTATTCACAAGGTGATGAAAATTACATTTGTCTGCAAAGTAAATAGTTGATTTTAGGAGTTTTCGAAAAAAATATGTTGGGCAGAACACGGCAAACTTCTGGGCTTTTATCGTACGTGAAATCAGCTTCCAGTTTTATTTGAATTGTATGTGCCAAGAAAGAAAGTATGTTAATATCTTTCTTTCTTGGAAATATGCTCACTTTGATCTGTTTTCTGTTCAAAGTGTTTCTGACTCGCAATAATGAGTAATGACCATATTAGGTTAACTCGAGATGCTACAAATATTGGCCCGAAACTATCTAAAGTATTTAATTAAGTAATTATCTAAAGTATTTAATTAAGTAATTATCTAAAGTATTTAATTAAGTAATTATCTAAAGTATTTAATTAAGTAATTGTCTAAAGTATTTAATTAAGTAATTATCATTTACAGGCGTGTCACGAAAAAGTGGATTTGCTGGAGGATCAGAACGACAGTGATCAGATAGCAGAGCTCAGGGAGACGGATGAAAGGTACTGTAGTCAAGAGGACAACACCGCCCCTCTTATCAATTGTACAAGTAAGTTATTAACTAATTACAAACTTGATTAAGTTTTACAATTTTATTGAATTGCAAATTTGGTTCTGAAACTTTGAGGAATAAAATTGGTTGGCGACTCGAAAACCTGGAATGCCTCTAGATAAAAATAAAGAAATCGTTCGATATTAAAACTAAGCAAGGCTTCAGCAAACTCATTGCATGAAGACAATTGTAAATTTGAGGATGCTACCAAAGGTTCTGCACTCAAGCCCTTAAATACTCCATTCCCTTGACCAAGCCCACTATTGACCGTGCCTTAAATTTAAAATTCTCTGCAGAAGCCTGAGTTCTGCAGATCGCTAATAATCTGTTGGCTGTTCATCAGCTGCTCTGCTACCCACATGACCTGAATGTTAGATACCAATATCTCTAAATACTGATCACGTGACCTGTAATTCCTATCATATGACGGTGAAATAGTTAACAGATACTCGAAATTGTGAGGCACACTCGGCACCTTATAATCATGTTTTAATGTACCCCAGATTGTGGGAGTCTAGTGACGTCAAAACTATTTGATGGGCTGCTCTCTGCAGAATTCACGGCCATTAAAACTGAAGCTGGCCTCTGGAGATGGGATGGGGTTGCACGCTCCAGTATATAGTCACGTGACTTTGGTATTTTACTGACGTCATCAGAACGGCCCCCGAAAGTTATGCAATTTTGGGCGGGACTTGGAGAACCTATAACCTATTATTAATGTATCTAGTATCAGTGGGGGCTTCTTTAAAGTGAATTAGGGCACAGTTCATTTCAGTAGGGCTTCCCTGGGTGATAATGGACATTTTTGTTACAAAATTATGAGCACCTTTGGAAGGTGAAGGAGAGTCTCTTATGAGTTAAAATACATCATATTTTTTAACTGAGTAGATACTAGTCTACCTGATGATGGACCCGATGAGACGACATTTTAAAATATGGATTATTTGGTATGAGCTCTAGGTATTCCAATAATATCTTGTCCTTGTAAATAGTTCCTATAAATAAATTCCTCCTCTACTACCAGAACCTCAGACCCTCCAGTACTGCAGAAGTACTGATCACAATGCTAAAACATCACCCGATAGTCCATCATTAATCGGGTATCTGCCAACTCTAATCAGGAACAGGCGCCAAATTCAAGTTTCCCATAACTTATACTTCACGCCCTACCGCAGATCGAATAGAGGAACATAATTTCTTTCTTCCACGGAATTGAGAAAGTATTTTGTGGATCCCATAAAGGTTGGAAGCAGGAAATCAAGAAATATAGAAGACATGGAATTTGGGATAACGCAAAATAAAAAATTGGATAAAGGAGCATGAGGCCATATAATTGTTTGTTTCATGCCGGAATAGGGTCGACACCTCAGTTATCCTGGTGATTTCTGCAACATTAATCTTTAATGTTAATAACCGGCGATTCTAACTAGATCCATCTCGGGCCGAAGGACCATGGTCCTCGCTCAGGCCGTTTTAAAGCCCTCCCCATAGAATTCTCATTTACGAGTTTATCCTATGTTAACCCTTGAGTGTACTTGCAGGTAATTTTGAAAACAAGAAGGCTGTGTATGCAGTAGGGGACCCAAACATCGTGACATTTCACAACGGTAGGAATACAGCCCAATATTTGAAGTGTTTGAAAACAGAAAAAGTTATGATTTTAGTTTGTAAATTCTAGTTTTGCAAAAGGTTGACAGTGGTTTTACATGTCATGTAGCTGAACTAGTGATTGTTTAAATTGTCAAGATATGCTGACTTGGGAAAAATGTAACTTCCGCTAGCTTTAACAAATACCAGTGTTGGAATTTTGACAAAATATTTCCAAGGCTGTCCACTGCAGAATACTTTTGTTATGTGAAGTATACTCAATGCAGTGAAACAGGGGACTTAAAACTCAAACTAAGCTATAAAGTTATTTAAGATCGTACGCGTAGTTCCGTTTAACTTTAAACTTTTAAAGCACTGTTAGTGATAAGAAGAACAGCTATAAATCAAACATTGATGAAACAAAAGGTTCGATCCTAACTAGGAATATGGCAAATTATAATTCTCTGACTCTTAAATACGCCCCTAAATACGTGCTTTTCACAGTTTTGATCAACTGAATCCTTAGAGTATTTCCTTAAAATGTGGAAGTTTTCTTAAGAAAAGGCCTGAAATCGTGTTTTTGGTCGATTCTGGTTCCACAGAAATATGAAGTTGAATTGACAGTCGAAGCCCTAGTGCCCTAGTAACTTAGTGCCCTGAAGTAAACCCATCGGATAATTCTCAGTCGATGGATTTTCCAAAACTTGTAGGATTTCCATAATTGCCAAAAATAATTTTTAATTATGACGTCGAAGGGTTTAAAATTTCATTCTTAATCAATCATCTTATTCAACGGCAAGAGTTTCCATGAATTTAATTAATTTATTCTACGCGGAAATTATTTCAGTTGGCATTAGAAATAGGGCTGGATTTAAAAAATTTGGCTGGATTTTAAAAAGAGTATGGCTTTATAAGATAAAAGTTATCTGAGAAATTTAATATTGCGAAAATTAAATATTTCGTGTAAAAAATTATTTGCAGGTATATGATCCATCAAAAGCCGGGTTTAAATTCAATTACCTATCAGGAAATTGGCTATCCTGATCCAGGGTAGGCTGATCATTTGTACTACTGCTTTTGTGATCCAGGCCAATCTCGTCTCGTTACGGCCGACTGATAAAGATAAAAATACTAATAAAATTATTAGGAATGTCAATATTTTCTGAATTTAAATCATTCACGTAGAGTTTATTTAGGTACGTAAAACATAATTCTGGGCGTCACAATAGTTTTGTCAAACAATTGGACTTACCTGAAATAAAATACACAGTATTCAGTAATCCTTAAAAGCAGTTTTTATTAAGTGACTTAAAAGTGCATATAAATTCAAAATATCAAATGATTACCATGCTAACTTCTGTAGAACTGCAGCCTGTAAGGTTTCACAGTTCAGATATAGGTAAGCTCACTATTCGTATTTTAGCTTACGAACCTAGTAGTAGTATAGACTATAGCCATAGGCTCACTACTAGGTTCGTCAATCGTAGGAATTCACGGTTAATGACCACGCATAGTACCTACCCATATCGTCAGTCAGGTCATCGGACGTTTTGCGGGCTTTGGAAATACCATTACCGCAGTGAGATAAGAGACTCTCTCGATTCGTATGTTTTTGAGAAATGTGAACTTAATTTCTAAGAAACCCACGTCAGAGAAGCAATATTTCAATATCTCAAATAATTTCTGTCTGAATTCCAGAGGAAGGTCATCACGTAGTGATCCTTAAAAGGTTAAAGGTGATACGATAAACGTAAGTCCTTCAGGGTACATGCGTCACAGATCACGTCAAAGAAGCATTTTTTCCATATTTTAAATGATTCCCATCTGAATTCCTGTGCTAGGCTAAAAGGCTCAAAACATGCCGTCAGGTGATTTCATCTTCGTGGAAATTCCTCTCCAATCACGCGATTCACTAAATCATCACATCTAGAGACAACAATAATTTTCGATGCACCAATTGTAGGTGTATGCACTAGCTCTGATTTAGGGTACTACAATTACAAACCCCGACTAGGTCACTAAAAGTGACCTCCACGGAATCATTCACTTCCAAGCTCGTCGTCATGATAACGTGAGCTCAAAGTATCTAGTGTACCTACCTGTATGTAGTACTTAGTGCTGAAGATATCAACATAACTTCAGGATACATTGGCTTCCAGAACTCTCGGGCTAGATGGTGGTACTTTGCTGTGTCCAACTGTGATAATCCTAACGTAAGTATAACTGTGATAATACTAACGTAAGTATAACTGTGATAATCCTAACGTAAGTATAACTGTGATAACCCTAACGTAAGTATAACTGTGATAATACTAACGTAAGTATAACTGTGATAATACTAACTTAAGTATAACTGTGATAATCCTAACGTAAGTATAACTGTGATAACCCTAACGTAAGTATAACTGTGATAATCCTAACGTAAGTATAACTGTGATACTCCTATATAACGTAAGTATAACTGTGATAATCCTAACGTAAGTATAACTGTGATAACCCTAACGTAAGTATAACTGTGATAATCCTAACGTAAGTATGAGGTTTATACTGTAAAGTGTGAGTGTGATTTTGCAGGTTTCAATGTTCAAATCTAGACCAAGATCAGAAACTTAAGTCTTACTAGCTTTAAAACAAATAAGATAAATAATTGTCATGATAACTGATATGTTCCCCCAGTCAACATCATTGAGTTTATATTGCCGATGTGTTTGGGCCGCTAATGTAGGTTTATCCATCACTTTGTAATGCAGCTCCATTCCCACTAATCACTAATACTACTATACAGTTAAACATTAAACAAGGAACTGAAACCGAGGGGCTCCGTTCAGGCCCTTCACACTTTGTTTCTGTCTAGTTCTAATGTACCGTCACAATAGTGACTTTAATATACTACCCTAGGGGGTTGCAAGAATGTCCTACACAGTTGAACTGACCAATGTGAACACTCACTAATACTACTATATACTACCCTAGGGGGTTACAAGAATGTCCTACACAGTTGAACTGACCAATGGGGACACTTTCTGGACCAGACACGTGTCAGCAGATGAAATAGGTCAGTGTTTATATCAGCAGTCTTTCTAGCCTCTTATACAACACCACTATTTCTTCATTCAAGTAAAGCTATGGGACGTTTAAGCTGGCAAATGTTTGAGTTTGTGCTGGTCAGATTTTTCATGAATCTGTTCCAACGTGTTCCTGGGACTGGAAGCTGGAGAATCAGTTTTATTAACTAAGTGGCTTCACCTCTTCTTTACTTTAAGACGAATCTCACATTATGACGATGGTTCAATTTAAAAGCATTATTTAAACTTTTACTCATTTTCAGGGATACTGGAAACGGACATTGTTTTTGTGATATTGTTTATCTACTTGGTGATAGCTTCTGCTAAAGTTGCACGTGAGTTTTCAGTATCCAAACGAAATAATGGACAATTCTAAAACGTTCTAGTCTTATATACAGTTCTCTTTTTACTGATCGTCATTTCCAAACCTGATCTGATAAAACGTTCACTTTTCTTTCTGACTAGCAAACGTCGCGTATGTGATGGGTAAACTGTGCCAGACTAAATGGTATTTTTTTGTGAAATGTGGTATGTGTCATGACGTATTTAACGGATGATACTCGTAAAATAATTGTTCCATATATTAGGACCGTATATTAGGACGAGTCCAACTCGGCGCGCGTCCTGGTAAACCTACAATGACGTATGGGTCAACTTACTCTTCTGGTTAAAAATTAAGGAAAATAGGAATAAATAGGAAAACAGTCCGCATTCTCCGTAACTACTTAACTAGCAGTAGCAAGACCACAGCTGTGCGCGCGTGTACTCATGACTGGGTGGATAAGGGTGGAGCAGGTTGTGGCCCCGCTTCTCTTCTTTAGTCTACAGTCTAGATCAAACACCCTGAATTGTTAGCACTGCACTACAGTACGAGAACCGAGCTACGGTCATTCACCAATTCATTAGGAGGCTCCGTTGAGTACGGTAGAGGTTTAACTTTGTTAAGTATTACTCACTTTCTGATATTGCTTCCACGGAAAATATCTTGCTATAGGATTAAGAGCAGGAGAAGAAAGCTGCCTAACCCTTTGAAAAAAGAAAGTTAAAATCAGAATAACACTAATATGACTTCCGATACTGTAAATGGGATTTTCTATATTCAGCAGAGTAGCCCGAGATTTCTGGAGAAATAATTTCAGGGATGTCGTAGTTTAATGTCTTGGATTTCCGTTATATCGTTATTTCATTTAAATAGACACGAAACGGAATTTTTACGTTACCATCACTATAATTCCATTTTCTATTTTAGTGATTACAATACTGCAAATGGAATTTCCTCTTTTTTTGGAGTCATTCGATTTTGTGGAGCCAGGAGCTACGGAACGTTGTATTTATCTCTTTATATCCGCCTCTCGACTCGATTTCCAACCATCATCACCTGATCAGGCGTGGGCTGGTAACTATCAGCCCCTAAACTAGCCAATAATATCTAACGACTCACTCCCACAATGTCACCCCACTCAATTGAATGGTATATCTGACTCTTAACATGACAAAACAACTCCCAGGTACTCTAGCGAACAGGCAGCTCTACCATACTTCCTTTAAAATCTTCATGGCCTCCGTTACTATGCAAGGTAATAAGACTATTACCTGGGGACCTCAGGCTATTATTTTCATAATAGAGATTCGGCGGAATGACAGGCTGAGCGCGGCCCAGTAATAAGACTACTATACTACTACTATGTCGGAACTAATATATATATATATATACAATATATATAAGACGTCCTATCTACGCCAGATAACCCCCTCAATATATCCCTGTCCCGCATCAGGGTTCGCAGTTAATAAGAATTACAGACCGTGTGAATTCCATATATTACCATAATCATTTCCACATGATGTTATTTTGGCGTCGAAGGACTCTATTCCGATTGTGTTCAAGATAATTGATAAATCTTACGATAAAACGATGACGATTGTGACACCACAAAAATTTGTAATCCTCTGCCAAGAACTGTAATGTGATAAGTATGACCTATTAAGTCAAATTAGGGCACATATTTTACATTTTTCCGAGCCAATGATAAGAAAATCTACATTTTTCAGCTGTTAAATTTAAATTTTTCAGCTATAAGCCAGATAGTGGTCGTGATATTCCGGTGTATGATAAACATGAACGGACAGGAAAATAAAGTGCTGAAATATTTTGGTAAGTAAGGGTCATTTTTTGTTAATTTAAGCATCTGTCTAATAAATAATCAGCCTATCGGCTTATAGTTCATTCTTTTCGGATCATTTTACCGCAATTATGAACCTTAACTTGAGAGCGGTTGTAGTTACTTTTATTTTAACCAAGAGCTAAATAATAAAAATCATGTTCAATCTGCAGGTAAAGCTATTGCAGTTATTGCTGAAACACTGTTCATTTTGTTGCTCATTCTTCTCAGTAAAGGCTGGACCGTAGTAAGGTAAATATTATAACATTTTTTTGCCCGAAATTCTTCGAGTGAAAATATACAAAAACATTCCAAACTCCGAAAATAACCTTTTCTTGCCCAAATTTCTGTAGAAATCGTTACAGCTTAGGGAAGTCATAGGAGTGCTTCGCCAGAAATGTTTTCAGATCATATACTTTAAACTTATTTTACTGCATTAATAACACGTACACGTAAATTTTCGACGTTTTAACGTTTTAACTAATTTTAAAGTGTTTCAGAGGACGTTTGAGCACTCAAGGTACTATGATACTATCAGCTTCTATAACATTTTACTTCTTATCACAAGTGGTGGCTCTATTTTGGTCTGCTTACGTGAGTTATATTACTAATTAACTAATTGGTTACGTGAGTTATATTACTAATTAACTAATTGGTTACGTGAGTTATATTACTAATTAAATAATTGGTTACGTGAGTTATATTACTAATTAACTAATTGGTTAATCAGTTAAAAGTGATGAATCAAACAGTAGACTGTGATCAATCACCAGAAAGATTTTACATCTCATTAATTAAATGAATTAAAAAAAATAAAAAATAAAATAAATGAATAAATTAACAACCTTAAAAATTAAAAATTAATTCCCTCCAGATGTTCGATCCTGGTGAGGTACTATACGAGTATGAATCTGCGCCTGGTTATGTTGTAATTGCATGTCTTACTCTCATGTGGATATGGTTTTGCACCTGCAATTATCACACTCTCCAAAATTATCCTGACCAAAATAAATTCTATGGAATCTTCTTCGCCGCTTACTCTATATGGTAAGAGGTTAGGTGAAGCACATTCTCATTTCTCGTGTTTCATTAGGACTTTTTATTGCAATATATATTACCAATACAACGTGAATACCGTTTTATACAAGATGAAGTTTGATAATTAAAAAATCAAATGTTCATTAAAAACAAGTTCACCTAGTTTATTACGTATACAATCAAAATTCTTTGTTCCAAATTTCAAATTCAAATTGTCAACTTTTCCATCGTAAGCGGATATCTCGAGTTAACAATATACAAATAAATTATAAAAGACTTTAATAGAATTTACTGAAAACATAGTTTTTCAATTATAGCTACAGTTCGTGTGTAAAATTTCAGAATCAAACCTACTTATTTAACCTGCAGTGAAGACCCAATTACTAAATTACTAAATTAGACGGAGCAATTACGTAGAAATACGCTCAACAATATAGTCGGCTCATATTACTGCCAAGAACCCATGTCATTACTATTTTGCCCAAGTACTCATATCAGTATTTTATATTTGACTCGGGGAAGTAACCTTATAGTATAGTGTAATACTTCATACCAGGCGTTCCAACTCGAATGAGAATTCCTTAAAGGGAAATTTATCTGCCGAATTCTCTAAAATTGCTATCATCATGGAATCCCGCCAAGAAGCCCTAATATACTTGCAATTTGAAAAATGTTCTGTTCTTGCGCTTTCGACCATGACGAAATTATCATTTAAAGGCGTCATCCTATACGCCCCACCTTTGAAACCCTTGTGGTGTTCTTTTGCTCGATTTGGAGATTCTACAGAATTTTCGTAATCAACGAGGATTTCGGGAGTAGCACTGTCCGATTTATGAAAATGTATCAACGCAGCAAAACATGTTATCCTCCCTTTTAATCGTACCTATTCGTTTTAAGCCCTAAATTTAGATAAACCTAAATATTTAAATTTGATATTTGAACATCTTGCAGGTTCCTCGCGAAGCCTATAATGGTTCTCATAGCAGCCTTCCAACTGGAGGACCACTACAGAGAAAAGGCGGTTAACGTGGTCCTAAACTCGAACCATTTCTTCGGGTACAGTGTGTTCCTGGTCCTGACACGACCCTCCACAAATAACAAGATGTTCCCTTACAATGTTAAAACCTCGCAGGTATTTGCACGCTAATTAATTATACTTGTTGATGACTTTTAATTGAGTTATTGCAATCTTTTTGATACTTTTCATGCTTAAAAAATGGGGAAAACTTGATGCGATCGATACGAAAATCTATAAATTTATCGATCAAGTTGCAGTCGCGTTGTGAAACATCACAAAAAAAATTTCATGCGATAATTTTCGTTTTAACTAAATATTATACAAGCAAGTAGAAGACTCAAAAGTAAAAGAATGTAACAAAGCGTAAAGTTATTGTTAATAAGTCAAAAAGATCAAATTTTTATAGGGGTCATTTCTGCCATTCATCTTTCTACGTAATTCATATTCCACTAAAATTGATCTTTTGAAATGATAATGTTCATGATAAGGTTCTACTGGGTATTGTAGAAGGGTCTGGGAACATTTAATTCATTTGTCAGGGTAAATTACTGATATAATGATACGACCTTTAGAAGATTCCACGGAAATACAAGTTGAGGAAAACCACAAAACGATGATACACGTCACACTTAGCTCTTCATATTGTTGTTTGCTGCTTCAAAATGAGTAGCTCCGAATTCCGATTGATTTCATGAAATACTGCATACTTAGAACGCATGAATTACCGCTCAGATCACAACCATGGTACTCCACAGGAGTGAGGAAGTGTGCAGAAAATCATTCGAACCAAGTATCCAAACTATCCATTCAACGGACAACGTCTGCTGGAAATAATGTGTAGGTGTTCCTGAATGCGAAGCCACTTCTTCTGTATCTGTAATCTGACCATCCCCATGCCTACAATACCCTACCGAAGCTGATCATATCCTATGGTAATTCGTTATTCGAGACAAAAAAATGGTGATATGACTTCAACCGGAAAAGTTTGTTAGATATCACGGCAGTGATGAGTAAGTATAGTTAAATATCCGAAACTGCAAAGAAGAAACAAGAAATAGGACAAATGCAAATGGGGCATAATAAAAGTCGATAAACTGTATTAATAATAACTTGAACTAAGTTATTTAAAATCGACACAATTTATAGGTTAATTTCTGCCATTCAATTGTTCAAGTACTTCGAAAATCATCCAATTTTTCGACTTGATGATATTCCAAGAAAATGCCATCCTTTCAGTTCTGAGTTCTGACATCTAAATTTAGTCGGTTCTTTTGTGACACAAACTTCATTAATGGTTCATGTCAAGATAACATGGTTCTAGATGATTCCACGTGAGTATAGGGGAATTAACCACTGTGAACCACTGTCATGGACCAGCATATGTTAGGAAGTGTATAACTATTAACTGGTGTGCTTCATGGGTTAGAATAACCAAAAACGTTCAGCAGAACTTAAAAATTAATTAAAAAATTCTTCAGGCTGGCTACAAATCACCCTGATATTCCTCAAGTACGTTCCTCAAAAACATTCCTCAAGTACATATTCCTCAAATACATTCCTTAAATACATTCCTCGAGTATATAAATCACCTATCGAAGATTAGTTTAACTTCTACTCTTAGTTTATGTTCTCATATTACATCGAATAAACAGAAATCTATAGTACTGCAGGACTTTTTGTCGATATTGTTCAATCGCTTATATTAAAAGAGTAAGTGGTATAGCTACTAAAAAACAAATTCCGAGTGAAATTTCGAGTGAATTTCGAGCAGCTAACTAATAACCAATAAGATGTAGAATTATTTGTCACGTGCAGACCGTTTAACTGTTCAGAGGATTTTGATTTGCCTTCATATAAAAGGGTCAGATAACACTTTCACCACCACTTAAGTTTTAACTGCTAATGGTATTTAGATTCGGTAAGTCAGATACAACTTTACAGTGAATTACTCTCACTCCCACACGAGGTCAGTGGTCACCAGTTACCATCATGCCGATAGTTTGCGTTAACATAAATTAGTTATTAAATTAATAATAAATTAGTAATTTTTTTCTGTCACTTCTTTATAGTGGAGCCTGGAGGATTGAAACAAATTCCCGTGAGCAACGTTTTGTTCCTGTCAACTTTGAGTGTTAGAATCAACGTAAAATCAATGTTCTCGAGTCCATCGTTGGAATCTTGATCCACGTAGTTTAGTTCGACAACTAAAGTTCGCCAGAAATCACCGCCGTTAAACGCCGAAGTAGCAAGGTCAAGTCCAGGTAGCGTACTCTAATTCGAAAAAATATTTTCTCTCTATTTTATGATTGTGGTCCAACGGCTCATGACTCATGTCATGAACAGTCGTTTATTGAATAATTATTGCCGAGTGCAGCTGCCTTCGGGTTTTCCTTAATATGTTACAATTGTAAATTAAAATTGAAACTTTTTTATTTTGTCGTTTCTATATTTCCTTATCGGACTTTATTTGGACAAACATTAAATGAACGGACATAATTTTAAACGGACATTAATATGAACGGTAGAAGGCATTCAAAACCATCAAAAATCCGAATTTTTTAATTTTTTGACGTTTTTTTATTTCAGCAAATGATTTTTAAATCCATTTTTAAACAGTAAGTAAGAAAAGCAGTCGTTAAGCAGTAAAAATGTTAAAATATGTGTACATGATCAGTGTCTATTAATATCACATATCATCTCCATCAAATGGGTTTTCGTGCATAAAAAAGTCCATGCTTAAAGCATCGCAGTGATTTCTAACTTTATGGAAACCTTTTTTTATCAAACTACCCCGGTCCTGCATTTCACTTTCAGTGTTAACTTTTACAAGCCATTTTGTGTGAAGTGGTTTTATATTAGACAACTTTAGGTTTACCTTAACATCACGTGAAGCTTTCCTAGCACCCTGTCATTACCTCCGCTGAGTAATATGAACTATAACAACGTCGGACAATGTCCTAGTTGGCAACACGATTTACCGTAATATCTAGAGGCTGGAACAAGTTTGTCATGTAAGCGGGAACTAGCTAAAAAACTATGAGTATGTTGTTGAGTGCCATAATTTCGTTGACTTTTTCCACCAAGCGACCCTTTATATACTATTACTAGTAAAGTCGTCTCTGCCTCCGGCAGACCAAGGAAATAACTTAAGTTACGGCACAATAAAGTTCTCATAGTTGTCTTGTTCTGGACGAACTGGAAACGTTTTTGAAAAAAATTCAACGGACTTAAACTTTGACCTAGTAAATTAACGGACTTTATTTGAACGGACATTAAGATGAACGTTATAGGGCCTCCAGCGTTCAATTAATGTCCAAATAAGGTCCGATAAGGTATTAAGGCACCTGAAAGTGAATATTACTTAATCTTATGCCTGTCATCATCGACATTGAATTAAAATGTTATGAACTAAAAATAAACCTTCTGGAAAACTTCCGATGAATATTAATTCCTGGAAAAAGTTAAAAGAAGTATAATAGTATAGTTGGTATAATAGTATAGTGATTATAATGGAAACGGTTGTGCCTGTCAGCACTGCGATGGGTCATACTTAAATTTCCTGAAAGTTTCGTAAAGATTCATTGATTGAATTGGGTGTACCACGCCATTCCCTTTTTTCACTATTGTCACCATAAATTGAAAACGCTTTGAGCTAGAAAATCCAAAGTTTCTAGACATATTTGGGTTGATACAATTTAACCGAGTTATGACTCTTTCAATATCTAGTGGATACGTGATCTCGGTAATTAATCAGTAATGTTGTCAGTAATGTTGTCAGTGATCTCATCGGGAGCTATTCGCTAGCGTGCAACAATGAGCCTCATTAGGCGAAACCAAGAAAGTTGGGGGGAAAAGATCTGATCACTTTGTGTTAATACTGATAGTGACTTTCCTTGAAATCAAAGGAATGGTATCAAACATCATGTACTCTGAATCCTGAAAAGATAAAGTTAGCAAACAGTTGTCCTTTTGGTTTTGACTTTTGATTGTCCTTCATCTCAATATCTATACAGTAGAACACATGTCAGTTAAGCCTCATACTCTCATAGGAAACCTTCTGTAACTGTGTTTTTTAGCCCACATACGACATTCGCTGCTCTCTTTTTCAATAGATTTCTACAGCTTGAAGACCTTAATCTGAATTTATATATGTATATTACTGTCTCATCTTCGTCTTCTTCTATTGGAATGTTTTTTGTCGGTCCTGTGTCTTCTGTAGCCTAATAACGTTAATACTAACTTAAAGTTTGTAGGCTATCTCAATCGGTTTTAACGAACATTTCAATTGGTCTTAAAGAGAAATGGTTATGTTTCAATTCTATAACAGTATCCCAAATTTGTTTGCTTGTTGTTTTTTTAAAGGAAGCCCTTTATACTAATAAATTTCACAATATCGGAATTAATTAGGGATCTATACAAAGCATGTTGCGGTGTCTGCTCCTAACTGTGGCTGTGGTCTCTGCCACCTAGTCTGCCGTGAAATGCTACTTTGGATGTGGATTGTGGAGCCGGTACTATCGAAATAGCCGGACAAAGTCAGGGTTACCCCGACGGAGAATGCACTAACAAAACAACTGCAGAGTGTCATGCTGGATGTGTTACTGTTTCCCTGGAGTTCGACTATGAGATTAAGGCAGGAGGAACTGAAATAGCAAGGGGATCACGTGATGGTATAAAGACTGCTTATACGTGCATGGATAACGCCAATGACCAGTTCTGTAACACAATAAAGTCCTCTATGGAGTCAACCATGACGGGAAAAATGAGAACTGTTTCCATTTACAACCTGGGAACTGTTTCCATTTCCAACATGAAGTGTGATGTTTCGGACCCATGTGAAATCGAAATGTGCAACGACCCCACCAAATCTGAAGATAAAAGTAATGGTGGTGAGGATGAGAATAGCAGTTTCGTCGTTCATATTGGCGTTTCTTTCGTCCTTTTCTCTGCTGCGCTTGGACTCCTCTATTAATCAACAAGAAGTGAAGTTAGGACATGTTAATTGAGGAATGAAGCTCTGGCTCGTGGACATACAATATAACCGTTCATGGTTATTTCTGCGGCAGATGACTTCATATTAATATTTGGAAGATTTTAGCAAAAATAAATATGTATAGGCACTTTTAAAATGTGTGTGAGTTATATTCGCACTTTCGAGAAAATTCGCCTCATATCTTCTTTTTAAAAATTTTTTTATTTAACTGATGTCACCTTAAGAGTTCAGATGTTTAAAAAAATTTTGTTTCCGCAGTCAAGGAAAGGAAATACTTGTTGAACTAGAGTCCAGGTAGCGTACAAATTCAGGCTTTGTCGAACTACAGTATTATATATAACGTATCGAACTAGGGTACTCGTATAACTAAAGTATGTGTACCGTACTCTTTATGAGAGACAATAGTAATCATTCAAATCCATGTTGAATTATTATATTTATTATTCATTAAACGATAGCATACAGAAATTTCTGAAAGACAATGTAGAACTATTCACAGATGGCAAGTTAGGCGATTTCAATGTCGATATTGCGAAATATCTTTTTACCGTATCATGTAGTAACCGTATATATAAACAATAACGTAACCTCACCGAGTGTTTTAATAGTCTGTAATCAAAGTCAGGAACGGTTGAAGGCTCGAGTGATATAGTATTTTATTTGTCTGGTTGGTTCAGTCCAGTTTTCTGGAAGACAATAGTGAATCATTTACAGATGGCAAGTTAGGCGATTTTAATATTGATATTGCAAAATATTTGTTTACCGTATCATGCATGTTAAAACGATTTCAGTTCCTTCTTTTCACCTTATCTTACTATATATAATGCGAGACGATATATATATATTTATCTGTGCCATTTTACTGACACCACGGCATCAACTTTAACGCGAATTTCTGCAAAAACCGTAAAAGATATACAACTGAAACTTTTTTGACTGGGTCAAATGCTTTAATGGCCTCCAAATCAGCATGAAAAAATAAAAAATTGGCCAAGAAATAGGAGTTTTAGAGCCCAAAATTTGGTACCCCAAGTGGTGTCAAAAACGCGAATTAAATAGGTAATAATTGTTTTAGTCTCTTGAGTCTTGACACCATTTTAGGGTTAGACGGGTTCCTGCTAGTACTTTTAAACAGTGTAGTGTGTTTGTATCCGTTGTTTACTGAAATAGTCTTACTCTTCGATTAGAATGAACCAAAAAGACTCTTATCATTTTGCCGTATTATTTTCGCTCGCAGAAGTGGCATGAAGCTTCTTGACCTAATCGTACATTTTCATGAATCTGCTTTATATCTATATATCATGTACATGTAGTATCATGATATTAAGTTTTCAATAACAAAACTAACCAAAATTAACCAAAAGAAATGGCTATATTTGGAGAGGTAAAGACTTGGGTGTATCCATACTTCAGAATGTGGTACAAGCCCACCACCAGCTGGGACATATTCTTCAACTACTTCTTCGCTGCCCTCTTCATCCTGGTCTTCTTAACAGGACTGTTCCAGCCCGTCATAGTCTACTACCACTCCAAACAAAAGAGGACAATAGCTAACATTCTGTTTCTATGCATCTCCAGTCTGGATACCTTTAAAAGCTTATACTTTCCGGTTTGGTTAGTCCCGAGACTTCTCTCCCCGATTGATGAAATTGGACCGTATGTCCAATATGGCTACAAAGGATGGTTTGGGTTGATGAACAGCGTCTTGGCATTTGTACCAGTCCAGATCACCTATGCTTTGCTGCTTCTCTTATGCGGGTTCAGATACCTAATCATGCTCACTTCCATGAACCCCAACATAAATTTGAGGCCAGTTAAAGTCGTATCACCATTTCTGTGCCTTGCAGGCCCAGGAGTTATGGTAGGGTATTGGGTTTGGGGGACGGTCAAATACAAAGGCAGTGGCTCCGCATTCGTCAGGATTACCCAGACGGCATTTCCAGCAGACGTGGAATGGATGCTTGGCTCGAATGATTTCCTGCATGCTTCCTGTGGAGCCTATTTCCTCATGATTGTTTTAAGCATTATCTTTAGTGTTCTAAATGCTCAGTATCTCATGAAATCTATCGGAGCTACCCCCTGTGAAGCAGCTAACAAGGATCTGAAGAGAAGTGTGGCGTGTATCCTGGTGATGAACCTCTTCAGTACTATCGTGGCTGTCCTCAACGTATGTTGGTTGGTCTACCAGATTAAATACAGCATGTACAGAGCATTCCCTACCTACCTTGATGTCCTGAGGTTCACTGTATTATACGGGTTCCCTCTCACTCAAGCTTCCTTCAACGCCATTAGCTTCGCCGTCATCAGCTCATCCTTTAGAAGATTTGTAAGGAATCTTGGTCCCGTAAAGAAGATCTGGCCGGTGAACACTCCCGCAAATCTACAGTTTAAACTTAGAACTGTCCGAATACCAGCATGAGTGGAGTCAAATGAATTGAAAAATGATAACAATATCAATGTTAATCAAGAAAAGTGATATCTGTAAATTGGTGTTTGAAAGCAACTTTAGACATCAGTTATGAGCTGCATGACCTAACTGTTCATACATCATCTGATCTGTTGAACATGACCTAACTGTTCATACATCATCTGATCTGTTGAACATGACCTAACTGTTCATACATCATCTGATCTGTGCATTTTTTGCTCTCGGTATTTTAGTTTTTGCCCCACTTCGTACATTGAGCTTCCCAAAACCCAAATAACACCCACACTAAAGTTTTTTAACCTCATCCGGTAGATAGTCATGTGTTATGAATGATTACATATTATTGTATCATACAATATTACATAAATATGTATATGAATACATAAATATTATTGTATGAATGGTAATGAGGTGTAGAACTGTAAAACAAATGTTGTAAGATATATCACAGATTACACGTTATGTTGTTGCAGTCGTGATTTATATGAAATAGTTGTTTTCAGGAAATTTTGATTAACTGCGCTTATGCTATACTATGTTAATTTGTTAATGAAAACTAAAATTTTAATTGTTTGAGATATTTGAATTATTTTGAGATATTTTACTAGTAATCATATTGTAATTGTATTTTAAATTTGATTGATTGGCGGAAATCGATGGTTGTGTAGATACCGTTTATTATTTCGAATGTAATCGGTGGTTATCAGATTTGGTGTTAAACTGTAAATGAAGATTAAAATAGCAGAAGAACTAAAACATTTTAAAAAATTAAAAAAAACAACTTAAAAGTCAGAAATTAGAAGTTCAAGGGATAATAACTAAGGCCTATATAAACGTGAAATAAATTTTAAAAATTAAACTACCAAGAAATGCGGCCGCTTTTCTTTTGTGGATGGCCGCTCAATTTCCCGATCCGTGATGGCGTATTTATCATATTCCATACAACCTGGGGACGGCCCAGTCTTTACTGTTTATATAAACATGCAAATATGGCGAAGTGACATGCCGACTGCCGAGCGCCGCCCAGTTAATATAATTCTATATTGAATTTGAAAATCGTGTATACTTCTATGTAACCATATGTTTATTGTTTATGCAACCTGACACGGATCTGTGCAAAATAGTAATACTAACTCAAAATAATAATAATATGCTACCAATTAGTGCCTAGTGGGATACGCACATGATGAAATTAATAATGTACTTGGTTGGTTCAGCGCCGCGCGCCAACAATTATATAATTCAGATTATCACCCAAAATAACTTTGCGCAGGTAGTCACGTGGGCGATAACAGTGCTCGCAGGCACGTACGCACGCACGCACGGTCGCAAAGCTACCATATACAAAAAACCTCGATCGCTAACCCTTGTCCTTGACTCTTTTGTGCCTTCGGCACGAGTCATGGATCGGAAAAAAATTGTGGCTAAAATTGTTAATATTTGAACACAAAAAACATTAAAACATAAAACCCACCTCAGATTGGGGTATCAGGAACTGCAGATGATTTGGTTGACGGAGAAAGACCGAAAGCTTCCTCTTTTGAGCGGGCCAACATGTTCAGAGCCGCAAGAACCGTGAGTAGAAATTAAATTCAAACGATCCATTAAAATTTCATTATTTCATACGTTTTAAGTACTTAAAAATATAATCTGATATCAAGATATGAGTTAGTATTGGAACCGTCGCTAAAGGTTAAAAATATACTTACGGGGATAAGATAAGATCCACAAGGAACTTAAAATGTATGTCTAGGCGCTGCCAGTTGTGGGATAACTACACTGTCGCAGATGAACTTGAGATATTGATAAGTGGAAGTTCTAATGGTACAAAAAGAAGTTCCATCTGCATCAACTCTTGAGTACTAGGAAACGGACGAAATATAAAATCGGAATATGTGCAGCAAATAAAAGGGTTAAGTTGATTAAGGTAGATACGATTAAATCTCTAAAACCAGCTTTGCCAATGGAAAAAGTAAATTAAAAATAGAACACGTATATAATAAACGTCGAAGCGGGTCGCTAGAAACGCTAATCAATTAACAATTAGTGGTTTAGAGATTTAGTAATTGAATTAATGTAGGGAGGTGACTGGTGAAGGTTTGTAAAACTCACATTCAGCAACACTTTCACAACAAAACGCTGGATGTCTGTCTTTTGATTTTCTATTTTAAACCACAAAATAGATTGAAGCCAGAAAGTTGCCTGAAAGTAAAGCCACGCAAAAGCAGCATAATAATAGCGCTGCTGACTGCACATCTTTAGAAAGCATGAAAACAGTAAACTTTTCTATCGTGCTCTTCCTATGACAGATCTTACATATTTTAAAACTGGTCGAAGGTATATACTATATAATAGTTGGATCATATCCGAACTGGCACAAGCTAGCCCACAAATATTCTGAATATTCTATTTGTGAAAATCTTGTAAATTCGAATATACGTCTTACGGATAATACCCGTTTAAATTTGTTCCAGACCCGGCAACAAGGCGCAGCTCGGTCAGTTATAAACCTACAAATATCTGTTTGCAACGCCAACTGTATCAGTATGCACGGGTCGATTCTCCAGCCCACACAAAACCAAATATAAAATACATATCACCTTATACATAGTACTATAGTGTATACATAGTGTATAGTGTATAGTGTATAGTGTATAGTGTATAGTGTATAGTGTATAGTGTATAGTGTATAGTGTATAGTGTATAGTGTATAGTGTATAGTGTATAGTGTATAGTGTATAGTGTATAGTGTATAGTGTATAGTGTATAGTGTATAGTGTATAGTGTATAGTGTATAGTGTATAGTGTATAGTGTATAGTGTATAGTGTATAGTGTATAGTGTATAGTGTATAGTGTATAGTGTATAGTGTATAGTGTATAGTGTATAGTGTATAGTGTATAGTGTATAGTGTATAGTGTATAGTGTATAGTGTATAGTGTATAGCGTATAGTGTATAGTGTATAGTGTATAGTGTATAGTGTATAGCGTATAGTGTATAGTGTATAGTGTATAGTGTATAGTGTATAGTGTATAGTGTATCGTGTATAGTGTATCGTGTATAGTGTATAGTGTATAGTGTATAGTGTATAGTGTATAGTGTATAGTGTATAGTGTATAGTGTATAGTGTATAGTGTATAGTGTATAGTGTATAGTGTATAGTGTATAGTGTATAGTGTATAGTGTATAGTGTATAGTGTATAGTGTATAGTGTATAGTGTATAGTGTATAGTGTATAGTGTATAGTGTATAGTGTATAGTGTATAGTGTATAGTGTATAGTGTATAGTGTATAGTGTATAGTGTATAGTGTATAGTGTATAGTGTATAGTGTATAGTGTATAGTGTATAGTGTATAGTGTATAGTGTATAGTGTATAGTGTATAGTGTATAGTGTATAGTGTATAGTGTATAGTGTATAGTGTATAGTGTATAGTGTATAGTGTATAGTGTATAGTGTATAGTGTATAGTGTATAGTGTATAGTGTATAGTGTATAGTATAGTGTATAGTGTATAGTGTATAGTGTATAGTGTATAGTGTATAGTGTATAGTGTATAGTGTATAGTGTATAGTGTATAGTGTATAGTGTATAGTGTATAGTGTATAGTGTATAGTGTATAGTGTATAGTGTATAGTGTATAGTGTATAGTGTATAGTGTATAGTGTATAGTGTATAGTGTATAGTGTATAGTGTATAGTGTATAGTGTATAGTGTATAGTGTATAGTGTATAGTGTATAGTGTATAGTGTATAGTGTATAGTGTATAGTGTATAGTGTATAGTGTATAGTGTATAGTGTATAGTGTATAGTGTATAGTGTATAGTGTATAGTGTATAGTGTATAGTGTATAGTGTATAGTGTATAGTGTATAGTGTATAGTGTATAGTGTATAGTGTATAGTGTATAGTGTATAGTGTATAGTGTATAGTGTATAGTGTATAGTGTATAGTGTATAGTGTATAGTGTATAGTGTATAGTGTATAGTGTATAGTGTATAGTGTATAGTGTATAGTGTATAGTGTATAGTGTATAGTGTATAGTGTATAGTGTATAGCGTATAGTGTATAGTGTATAGTGTATAGTGTATAGTGTATAGTGTATAGTGTATAGTGTATCGTGTATAGTGTATAGTGTATCGTGTATAGTGTATAGTGTATAGTGTATAGTGTATAATGTATAGTGTATATTGTATAGTGCATAGTGTATAGTGTATAATGCATAGTGTATGATGTATAGTGTATAGTGTATAGTGCATAGTGTATAGTGTATAATGCATAGTGTATAGTGTATAGTGTATAGTGTATAATATACTGGCTTGAAAACACATAGAGTACTTTAATTAGCTGCAATTCATCCACAAGGATAGTTTAGCCTCCCCAACCAAAAAGCAAAAGTTGATTTTTACCTTTGAGTGAGGGACGATGGACCATGTCTAGTGGACACTGGACATCCATAAATTACACTTGTCGTTTACATGACAAAGGATGAAAGGAGGTGCCTGTGAAATGTTTATATATCGTAGGGACGAGCGAAAGTAACTGGGTACTGGATATCTCGTATTACATACATATTATCCAGTATCAAGTTGTAAAATATCCCAAGTTAATGGGATTGCAGTAGTTGCTATAGTAGCTATAGTTGTTATAGTTGCTACAGTTGCTATAGTTACAAACATACCCCAGGTTGATGGAGGCCGAGGTGACGCGTACGCTGTTGGATTCTCCTCGGTAGCATACAACGCAGAAACTGGTGCTACCAACCTGGACATGTTCAGTCCCTACGCTGGTCAAGATCCGCCACACATTTAATAAAGAGTACTTAACACGGGTTTTATCAAATGGCTTTGTTATCGGCCAGCACTCGTGGCTTATTTATAGACATTATTTGCATTATTATGTTACGAAGGTCGAAGACCATGATTCACGAAGGCTCATAAAGTTATAAAAATGCTTCAGACTTGTAAAATGTAAAGCATGAGACAAAATAAAGTATCCCCATCCATACTACGATGTATGGGCACTACGATGTATGGGGACTTACCACCCCATGGCAACATTAAACTATATCGACACTGTTACATCGTTTCCTGTTAATATCAACGTAGTATTATATGACTGCTCTAAGCCCTAGCTAAAACAGCCCAAAACGTAGGATTTTAAATATTTAAGTGACTATTCCGTAGATTATAAAATTTCTTAGGCTTGTAAAGTTCACTTCCCCTGGAGGGTGCAGAAGTTAGTGCAGTGAGAATTTCGTGAGTTTAGTCTAAAGAAATAAGATTTTTTGTAAATCATTCTATTCACACAATATTATTGTTTATTCAATGTTTATTCATACTACGTAACTTAACAATTTCTATGAACATTTGCAACATAATTCAAATTTCAAAAATACGACATTTAAAAATACAAATTTTCGTCAATTAAGAATATTTATTCCTATTTTCTACCTAACCCACCCTCTATCAGTATCATTAGTTCCTAGAATTACATTCCTCTTGGATAGATTTCCTGAAACTACCTATAAAATGTTTTAGAATGTTTCCCAGCTCCTCAAACGTCTCTGATGTACGTTGTGCCATCAGGCATGTTCAACTCAGTCCAAACATTACTTTGTACATCATGGAAGCTAACATACCTTGCGTTGGCGAACTCATTTTTGTGGTTCATCTTCATCTCCAGCAGAACTTTCTCATTTTCCCCATCTTTGAAGAATTCTACTCGGAAATTCTTCTCCTCGACCAGAACAAACAGGTCAAACAGCTCACACTCAGCTAAAGAGTCTGGGATGGCAGCAGAGATTTCCTGAACGCGTTCTGGCGCATCCCTAATGTTCATGATGAGCACCACCACTCCCTCTAGAGGTCTAATTGAGATGTGGAGATGTACAGAAGTTGGGTCTTCTATGATTTTAATGTCAAAACGGTCCTCTTCTTTCCTAAAATGTCCCGTGAAGTTGATGACGTCTCCTATCGAAAGGCTTTTGAATTCGTACGTCCCAAATGACTGAAGTATTTGTCTAGGCTTTGGTAGGCTTATCTTCTTCCAGGGATTCTCGTTACTCCCCGGGGGAACAAAGCAGACTACGTGAGTAGCTGTATCAAGATCAAAAGCGTAGGGAATATACTCCTCCACCAGCATCTCATTCACAAACAAAATCATTTTATTCTCAGCGAATTCGATCTTAATATGGAAGTTTCCACTTGGGTCTGCATGAGCCAGCTTCTTAAATAGGTCCTCTAGATGGAGATTTAAAGAACCTGTCCATTGTTGTGTTTTCACAATAGAATCCAAGCAAACAATCCCTTCTTTGGGCCTAACATCGAAGTGGAACAGGTAGTCTCCTTTACCCCTCATAATATTAAAGCTGTAATTATCTCCCTCCTGGTGCTTTCCCCAAACTTCTATGCAATCCCCCACTGCTAGCGACTGTTCCAGTATCATCTCCTCTCCAAGTTTAACATCTGAAGTACCCTTGCTCTCCTGGGTGACCCGCGGTGCTGGCACTTTTAGTTTCTTCCATCTCCCCAGATCGTCCTCGTCTCTTAAAACTACGTTTCTCCCTTCCTTTAGAGGTACTCGGATTGGAAATGACTTCCTCATCTTATCACCATTTATGAAGAAGACGAGTTTATCTTCGTCGTATTTCACGATGAGGTTGAAATTTTCGTCGTATTCTCCTCTCTCAAACTTTCTCACCACACGGTTATCTCGTATCTCTGTTTGCCATTGATCATTTACTTTATTGTTCATAACAACAACGTTTTCTGTAGGCCGGATGTCAAAGTGGAGAAGGATTTGGCTTAAATCGTCTCCAATCAGGTTAAAGTTGAACTTTTCTCCGTATTCGTACAGTCCCCAAACCTGTAAGGAGCTAGATAAATTTCTTTGATCTCGTTATAAAACTATCTTTATTCTTAATTTTATATAAAATTCGGCGAGAAAAATACACAACCCTCAGAACAATAAAGTTTGCTTAATTTCATGAGATTCTTGGCCTAATCCTCTGTTGGGGGTTAAATCTTGTGCTTGGAGTTAACTGTAACTTACCTCGATCTGATCCCCAGGTTCTAAGGGTTGGTTCAGTGGCACGGTTATACTCCTCTCGTCAGGTAATACCATCACCGTTCCTTCCTCCGCTTGACCTACAAGTACAACCAGTATTATAATTGGGTTGGTCGTCCGTATATTTGGGAATAAACACTATGAATCCTTTTGGCCTTCCCTTACTCCTTTAGATGATAAAACATATTAATTTCAATTTTATAACCATTTTAAGAGTATTAAGATTTTTAAAGGAATTCTGGGTTTTACAATTTTTTAGGCTTATATCACTGAAAATGACGCCTTGCAACATGTTTGACGATAGCCTGTAGATTGATAGTTTGATCTCAGTATTTACAACAAATCATCTAGCTTGAATCTTGATTGATTCAAAGGGAGAAAATAAATTCCTCTGTCGTCCGTATATGTTATGTTATGTTATGTTATGTTATGTTAACATGTTGTTAAATTGTATCTACAGAACTTGTTTTTCATCGGTTAGTAAACAATTAGACGAATAATTAGAAACAACCAGAAGAACTACCTGCTGCGGCTCCACGAACTTTTTTCTTTCTTTGTACAGGAGCTTTCTTCTTACTCATCTTAGATTCCATAGACACCATCTTTCCGACAGGGGTCTCTATAAGAATAATTATAAATTGTGAATGACAGGAGCACTGCTTATAGACAAAACTTGTGGCCTGTTAGGATCGAACCTGTTAAGCAGAATTAGTAAACAGTTACTACTGCAATCATGAAAGCTGTAAAAGTGTACAAATAACACAAAGCTACATCACCTGATTTGCAAAGCCTAGCGCAACACTCAGTAAGCAGCTGAACTATCCTCTTCTCCAACTGCTCGTCACTCTTGAAGTCTAGCCAGAGCTTGCCGGCTGTTAGGATCCCCAACCAGCCACTAGCTCGGAACGGGTTACCGTCCTCTGTTCTGTTTTGTGCCATGCATGGCACCACCTGATGGATAGTTTTGTAGTTTAATAGCATCCAAAAAGACTCGACATATTAACACACTCACCCCCTTACTTACACACTCACTCACCCCCTCACTTACACATATTAACACACTCACCCCCTCACTTACACATATTAACACACTCACCCCCTCACTTACACATATTAACACACTCACCCCCTTACTTACACACTCACTCACCCCCTCACTTACACATATTAACACACTCACCCCCTCACTTACACACTCACTCACCCCCTCACTTACACATATTAACACACTCACCCCCTCACTTACACATATTAACACACTCACCCCCTCACTTACACATATTAACACACTCACCCCCTTACTTACACATATTAACACACTCACCCCCTTACTTACACACTCACTCACCCCCTCACTTACACATATTAACACACTCACCCCCTTACTTACACACTCACTCACCCCCTCACTTACACATATTAACACACTCACCCCCTCACTTACACATATTAACACACTCACCCCCTCACTTACACATATTAACACACTCACCCCCTTACTTACACATATTAACACACTCACCCCCTCACTTACACACACACTCACCCCCTCACTTACACATATTAACACACTCACCCCCTCACTTACACATATTAACACACTCACCCCCTCACTTACACATATTAACACACTCACCCCCTCACTTACACATATTAACACACTCACCCCCTCACTTACACATATTAACACACTCACCCCCTCACTTACACATATTAACACACTCACCCCCTCACTTACACATATTAACACACTCACCCCCTCACTTACACATATTAACACACTCACCCCCTCACTTACACATATTAACTCACTCACCCCCTCACTTACACATATTAACACACTCACCCCCTCACTTACACATATTAACACACTCACCCCCTCACTTACACATATTAACACACTCACCCCTCACTTACACACTCACTCACCCCCTCACTTACACATATTAACACACTCACCCCCTCACTTACACATATTAACACACTCACCCCCTCACTTACACATATTAACACACTCACCCCCTCACTTACACATATTAACACACTCACCCCCTTACTTACACATATTAACACACTCACCCCCTCACTTAAACACTCACTCACCGACTTACAAACTACACAGAGAACATTTTGGCTGGTCCGGGGCTGCACCAACTATTTCAGTCTTAGGGAGATCTTTTGATGGTCAGTTTGGTAGGCAAGAAAACTTACAAGTAATTATTGCTAGTATTTCAGACAAAGATGTTCAATTTGTGTTGAACTTCTCTAACAGGCAAATTTATCGTGATAATTTTGCTTTTTAATTTAGTCATATAACACGAACTGAAGATTTTGATTTTGAAATTTGATGTCAACTAATACAGTCATTATTTCAAACAAATTTGTTTGTAGTCCGATTATACAAGGCCATGATTATAATGAATAATAAAGCATTCACACATTTCAATAAACTGAAATTTTAAAAATTCCCATCTTCTTAACGACCACAAATTTGTATGCAAAATCGCAATAGTTTTTCTACAAGAAACAATATCATCAAATTAAATATTGGCTTAATGGTTAATGGGTCCACGATCATATTACTGTTAGCATCTGTTCTATTATTTTGCCTTAGGGCTAACTTTTATCGAAACCCTCTGAGGGTTTATAACCGTACTATCAAGCTTGAACAGAAGCACGTGATTATCTTCATCAAACGAGTACGTCAACACATCCGAACAGGACAATACCATTCCAAGCGGATGCCAGATAGGGGGGACAAACACTTCAGTTGGAGCACCAATCTTAGGATCAACAACATAACTGTAAGTCATGGAGTGGGCGTCAACTTCCCAATGTAAAGATAAAGGTGTTCCAGCAGTAGCTCTGGGGTATGTTCTAATGAGGGGTTTCAGTATGTTCCACTTTACTGGGCCGCGCTCAGCCTGTCATTCCGCCGAATCTCTATTCTATGTTTATGAACATAATAGCCTGAGGTCCCCAGGTATGTTCCACTGGATGTGCCACTGGTCATCAAAGAAGTCTTCATCCCAGTATGTCCAGGAAGCAAAGTGGTCGTCAGCAACCTCCATCATGGCATTACACATGACAGTGTCGGAGGAGTTTTTGTTCCCGTCAGGTTGGCAACCTCCAAAATCTGTCAGGAACCAGCCTCCTCCTGTTCTCATCATGTCTCCGTGAGCGGTGGAAATGATAGCTTTTTCCTGGATGTCGTCGCAGGCAAGCTTCTGGAACGGAGTCAGAGGGTCGTGGTTTCCGTCGTGGATCCAGCAGTAGAGATGGTAGGATAAAGCACTTCTATCCCTGAACTCCGGACCCCCAGGTAAAGTATCTATCCCTGTTCCTAGAATCTCCCCATTCAGAACGTAACCCCACGTGACAGGTTCGTACATGATGATTGTGCCGTTATCTACTTCTCTGATAGCTCGGGCTATCTTGTCATACACCGGGAAGAGGTTCTGAGATCCTGCTTTTACAGGTAGGAACAGGAGAGGGTCAGCCCAAACGTATCCTGCCCATGGCTCGTTAATCAGCTCGTAACCTAGCACACTCGTCACGTCTTTAAAAGTATAAGAGGCTACTTTCTTCCAGAATGCTATGAACATGTCCTGACTCCTGAGAGTGGTTGACGTTGTCGTATAGAAGCCTTGAAAAGTCGCACAGCAATCTTCAGTGAAGTATTGCTTGGCCCAACCTCCGGCATAAAATGGTTTGGTTGATTTCCAAGGATAGGGATATGGATTTGTACCTTTGGGAAGAATATCCACCAACCAGGCCGGTGCTCCGTCGTAAGTCCCGAATCTTTTTGACAGCACATCTTGGTGCATGTCCAGAAAAGCGTGCATGCCGTTATCAGCCAGAAGGCTAAGCTGAGATCTGATAACTTGAAGGTAAGTTTCGTTGTATTTACCCTGCTCAGGTTCCACTCCAGACCACATGGTTCCCAGTCTGACAGCGTTGAACCCCCACTCTTTATAGTGCTTAACCAGGGAGGCGTTGCTCATGTGTTGGGGATACCAGGGGAACGCTTTGTTCACTGCATTGAACCCGTGGAATATTCTAACTCTACCCTGGTTGTCAACATAATGTCTATCTTGTCTGACTTTTATTCTGGAGAGTTCAGCAGAAAGTTGTCCTAATTGCAGCACTAAAAATATTAGAACTGCATACCTGGAATCTGGATGTCATGCTGTCCTGTGATGTATCAAATTCATATCAATAAGAAATACTTCGTGAGCTTAAATAATGTAAAAATGAAAACATTTTATATTTCTAACAGTACTTTGAGATACAAAAAGACTGGTAATATCACGAAAAAGTATTTTCAATTCCATATAAAGATAAAATGAAAATGTCAAAACCGAAGTATCAAGAAAGTCCACGTGAACTTTAAAACATAGCACATCAACATGTGATTGGTTAGGAAAACTGATATTTATGATTGATTGTGAACTTGCAGCTGACAGTATATCTTGCCTTAACGTTAGTAGATAAACCTAGAATCCTTATCTAAAAACATTTAGTCGGACCTTGTGATGGTGAAATGAATTTGAAAGCAGAAACCGAAACGTTAAGTAAATTATGATTGCAAAGTGCATTCCGTCTTTTTACAAAATTTTGGTTCAAATTTCTGGTATTTGAACTGATAACGTTGCATTGAGCGTTCGGCTAGTTTCGTAATCTAGAATTCTTCGATTAAAAATGTTTCAATAAAGCAGTTTAAAATTTAGGCTAATAGGTTAGGAGCCAATACATTTTTAGAAATCTATGTATCGTTTATCCGTGATTGGATGATTTAGTTAATCTTTTATTAAACTGAACATATGGCAGGACAGCATGAAATCTAGGTATGCAGTTCTAATATTTTTAGTGCTGCAATTAGGACAACTTTCTGCTGAACTCTCCAGAATAAAAGTCAGACAAGATGGACATTATGTTGACAACCAGGGTAGAGTTAGAATATTCCACGGGTTCAATGCAGTGAACAAAGCGTTCCCCTGGTATCCCCAACACATGAGCAACGCCTCCCTGGTTAAGCACTACAAAGAGTGGGGGTTCAACGCTGTCAGACTGGGAACCATGTGGTCTGGAGTGGAACCAGAGCAGGGTAAATACAACGAAACTTACCTTCAAGTTATCAGATCTCAGCTTAGCCTTCTGGCTGTTAACGGCATGCACGCTTTTCTGGACATGCACCAAGATGTGCTGTCAAAAAGATTCGGAACTTACGACGGAGCACCGGCTTGGTTGGTGGATATTCTTCCCAAAGGTAGAAATCCATATCCCTATCCTTGGAAATCAACCAAACCATTCTACGGGGGAAACTGGGCATTGCAATATCTTACTGAAGATTGTGGAGCAGCATATCAAGGGCTCTACGACAACGTCAACCACTCCCAGGACATGTTCATAGCATTCTGGAAGAAAGTAGCCTCTACTTTTAAAGACGTGACGAGTGTGCTAGGTTACGAGCTGATTAACGAGCCGTGGGCAGGAGACGTTTGGGCTGACCCTCTCCTGTTTCAACCTGGAAAAGCAGGATCTCAGAATCTCTTCCCGATGTATGACAAGATAGCCCGAGCTATCAGAGACGTAGATAACGACACAATCATCATGTACGAACCTGTCACGTGGGGTATTTGGTTTAATGGAGAAGCAGGAACAGGATTTGAAACAGTACCAGGGGGTCCAGAGTTCAGAGACCGGAGTGCCCTTTCTTACCACCTTTACTGCTGGGTCAAGAGTGGTGACAGTGACCCCCTGTCTTTCTTTGATAAGGTCTTGTGTGATGACCTTCTAGCAGCAGATGTGTTAACTAACGCCAAGAAGGAGTTCACTAGGACAGGAGGGGGTGGGTTCCTGACCGAGTTTGGAGAGTGTAAACCAGATGGGAGACAGAACTCTTCCAACACCGTGCTCTGTGAAACAGTTCTCAAGTTAGCTGACGAGAATCTAGTGAGCTGGACATACTGGGATACAGATTTTTTTGATGCTAGTGGGAACGTCCAGTTGGACACTGTGAAGCCCTTCATCAGAGCGTATCCTAGGGCCATAGCTGGAACTCCTTTGGGTCTCTCTTGGGACATGAAGAGTCACTCGATGGAGTTTAACTTTCTACTGGATCCTACGATCACGGCTCCTACTGAGATATTTGTTCCTCCCATCTACTTCGGGGAAGGAATTGAAGTGGCAATATCTGATACCTTGGTGTACACTTGGGACCTGGCCAATCATGTCATGCTTATCTATCCCAAGAATTCTGTTACAAATCCAGTTGAGGCTAAGGTGTATCTTACACCCAAGTTTTCTTGAATTTATAAGCTTGAATTTAGTTAGAAATATCTGTTGTTTCTTTCTATACATCAATATTGAATATTAGTTAGGTAAATTGCTTATACGTTTCCGATTCTCATCAAAAATTTTAACTACTATTGATTTTTTTTACTTGACTTACTTAATATATCCTACGAAAGGATTGTTACATTTTGTAAATCATTTGACCTAGTAACTATCCAACTTAACATTGATCATATGATCTATCTGAACATTTAAATCATGTAACCTAAGTAACCATCCAACTAAATATAGGTTAAAACATACCACAACTCCTCTATCATTTGCGTAGTTCAGTTCAGCCGAGCAATTCTTAGATTTTTCGTACTTCTGTGTCATAAAGCAACACACCACTGCCGAACCTTCAACTCCAGATGCCATCGCCTCATTGATGTTTCCTAACAGATTAATCCTTGAAATTCAGTGTCGCATGCGGTTTTTAAAGTTACCTTCACAAATAAAATATATAATGGAAGCGTCAGTAAGCTTGGTTCCCGTTCAACGTTTAAAAAATTAAAATAAGACAAATTAAAGAATTGTAATAGGCTAAAATTTAAAGATTTAATTGTTTAGTCTAAATCCATATTTGGCAAGTTATTAAATTGATAATAAACCTGTTACCCCTCCGTGAATGTCCATCCAAACGTTGATGTTGTGTTCCGACACGATATCATACACTTTGGCAACCAGTTCCTGATTGTCCCATTGATAGCTCAACATCATGTGCCTTTCGCCCATCTGCGGATACATGATTACACTAAGATCAGATGCTTGGAGAACAGAATGGCTTTTACTAATTCGCTCGCCCAAAAATTTCACGTGACTTTGGTTTTTATGGTTTTGCAGCCGTACAAAACGGTTTTACATGAACCCTAATCCCAACCCTAACCCTAACCATAACCCCGAAGCTAACCATAACCCTTCCACAGCCCTAACCCTAACCCGAGCCCTAAGGCTAAACAATCGAATTCGTATTTTACCAGCCTGTCACGTGACCAAAACGGTTTTTTGCCCATAACTCTCCAAGGAAGCATTTTTACCCTACGTCATGGGGGGGGGGGGGGGGGGTGATTCGGAATCAGCTTTCAAAAATACACCGATTTAGATCACTTTCATGCCCAAAATTTGGGCGAGCGATTTAGTAGGAGCGGAACAAAATAGGGAGGAGGAACATGAGGGATTTCAATGATCTTGAGGATCTGAGGGAACTAGGGGAATTGAGGTACATCAGGTGATGGGGGAGCTGGTGAACTAGGGGACCTGGGAGCCTGGGAAACCAGAGGCAGATTTTAGTGGTGAATTATAAAATAACTAGTGTAACCCGTGCCTACGGCCGGGACTTCACTATCACAGTTGAAATGCAAAAGTATAAACCCGCTTATTATAGTTGAAAACACGCATTACATTGTCGTATGAAAAAATGAAAGTATGAACTCTCTCTACAGTCCAAACAGACCGCAATGAGTTCCCCCCTAATAAGCTTATAATATTACATAACTGTGAATCTTGCGTCTAACCTAACTATGATTTATGCATTAACGCTGCATATGCAGGAATGGGAGAGAGAGCGAAAATGGAGAAAACGTTAGCCATTTTATGTCACATTTGTGGTACGAATCAATTCATCCACTTACCACCAGCCGATTTTTAAAAATTTGCTTATTGGCTTCGTCGAAACTATACCAAAAAAAAAACTTAACTCCCATAACCGTTTTCTTGATTAAGCTGCTCGGAAATTACACGCGCACAGACAGACAGACAGACACACATTGTAAGATTATTATCATTGATATGCATTATAGGTATAGTATTGGGATAGTTATTGGGGCCGACATACCGTATAACTGAAAAGACTAAAGAGTCTAAAATTATGGCATTACTGTCTAATACTGTTTTCTCACCTGATCTTTGAGTGCCTCCAGAACCTTCGTAAACTCCATTTTGCATTCTACTCAAACGGGAAAATATAAAAGATTTATTAATATTATCGAGTACTCTACTGAAATACTTACAAAGTTACAATAACTCCGACATTAGATTTATATTATCAGCTAATTATCGATTCACATAATGTTGTTCATCCTGCAGGCCTATTTGAACTAAAAATAATATATCGAGGATGGGACGGTTAAATTATTTGCAGGCGGAGGCAGTTGATTTGAAAAAGAAACTGAACAATGAGTCGGAGATCTAGTCCAGCTTGGGAAAATGAGGCATAATTAGGCGAGACATCATGTATTTGCCCGAATTCGTGCAATCTAAACTAAAAATGCAACACATTAGCTGGATAGTACAAGCTAAAAATTCTAAAGACTGTGCAGTGTGCTAATCTCATTTATAAATATTTACTTTAGCTAATTTGTATACTATAAATAGTATACAAATCAGCTAAAGTTAATATTTACAAAGTAAATAATAAAAGCTAGAGAACAGCTCAAAGAATGTTACTATCGATGGTATTAATAATTATACGAATTATACTCGTAACAAGGCGCAATAACTCCGCGGTGTATATAATTACTATAGCGATTCAAACTCAATTGTAAAGTGTAAATCTATTGGTTTGCTAGTGTAAAATGTTAATCCTCCCGAATAGGCATAAATGTATAATTGTTAATATGTGGTCACTAAATGTGGTCACTAAATGTGGTCACTAAATGTGATGATGGACACAGTTAGTAGTTATTAACTTGGCAGAATATGCTGTCACGTGATATTGCAGGATTGCAGTTCTCAGCTGATTCTACACCACTGACTTGGGACGTATCAACCCTGGTCAGAAAAAAGTGGTGGCGCCACGACTATTATGACCGACCAGGCATTTTCTGCTGCGTTTTCGGTTACATTGGGTAACTAATCGGAAGAAATAACCATTGGCTTTTTTGTTCATGTTCTTTAAAGTCATTCCTCAAAATCGGAACTCCGAAATAGTTCCCACCTATAGTTAGATAAATCTAGAAATTAAATGCAAAACAACTTGATCAACCCACATTGAACACAAAATAACTGTGTATTTCAATGTGCAGACGTTTTGGATATCAGACCTAATCGAGCTGTCATCAAGCAAATCACGTACATTTCGTGATAAGAATACTTATGATATTACAGCTGAGCAATACTACATTATTAGTGAATATGTGAAATAAAGAGTGTCCTAATGTGCGCTGAGCGCTCTGACCCTTTTTATTTCAGACTGGAACCCACCATCCCACCAATCATGCACTCGACTTGCACACAGCGGAATTCTCGGTAATGATCTTGCAGACAGTTTGGCCAATAAAGGCTCATATACTGTCCTATAGGGCACCCATGCCTTTCGCTCCTTGACACTCGATCCAAGTCCCTTCACCTGGCCAGACTTTCGACCTTTAAGACAGCCAGCAACTTCCACCACAACAACATCCTTACTCTCTTCTCCAATAATTTGAATATCTTATCAAAATCTAAAGATGACACTAGAATTCTAACTCATCTCTATACTGGATCCAGTTATCTTAACAGTATTTAGCCTAGTGTGTCTTGAAAAAGTCCGCGACCACCTGTCCAGCTCCACAGAACAATGTGTATATTTGGTTGGTATGTTTGGTTGGTTTTCCAGGTAGCTTAGTTTTAGAAAATGTTGAATAAGCTGATCTAAAAATTTATGTAGTCAAATTTTCAAATAACTAATTACAGCTAATTTGATTGATGTTAGTCACAAAAATGGACCTTAAAACTACCGTGTGGCAAATTTATCCTACAACATCAAAGGAAGCGTAAATGAATTTATTATTCAATCTTCCCTGGGAGTTTTATCATCATCAATTTACTTCTGACAATGACCTAATGTCCCGTACTGAGTACTAATTTACTAAGGAAGCAAAACAGCAATTAATATGAAATAGCAATTCATATAATTTGATCAAATTACTGGGAGTTTGAGAGCAGTTGACAGTTGACTAGTATTATAGATTACACTCAGTAGTCTGTATCAAAACCAATTATGTCATCCACTTTGAAATTGTTGTTGATAATAGTAAATATCTGCATGTATGTGGTACGGCCAATGGCAATAGTCATGGACCTGAGAATATTTCCGTAGAAACGTCTTCCGCCCCGACATTTGAGACCTGGAACGACTCAAGGGACCCCTTAGAAACAAATTTGGCTTGGAAGACTTTCTGAATATGGGGCAGTTTTGAGCAATTGACCACGCCCATTTTTGGCGCTTTCGTGAACACTAAACCGTTCAGGCCTGAGGCCCTTCACAATTTGTTTCTGTCTGATTCTAATATACCGTTTATTATATCTCCACTTCTGATTGGAGAAAGGAGATCAACTTGGGTATGAAAATAGTTAGAATCATCGCATTTAGGGGGGTAGAACGTGGTTTCAACACACAATTAAGGTTGATAAGTTATATAATGACCACACACTTTTGCGGTCTCGCGAGTAACAATTAACACACTTATTTCAGGATGTCTCAGCTTCTGATTGGAGTTAAGCGCTCATCTCGGGCATAAAAATGGTCATAATCATCGCATTGAGTGGGGTAGAGCATGGTTTTAAAGTCTACAGACTCCAGGTTGTTGAGTTATTAGGTCAGACCCCATTTTTACGCTCTCGCGAGTAGCGACTGATGCACTAATTAGTACAAAATATTTAAGCATCTGATGGGAGCTAAGAGCTCATTTTAGGCATAAAAATGCCCTTAAAAACTGGAAGAAGGTGCGGCGACTGTAAAGTATACAAGATATACAAGATATACAAGATATACAAGATATACAAGATATACAAGATATACAAGATATACAAGATATACAAGATATACAAGATATACAAGATATACAAGATATACAAGATATACAAGATATACAAGATATACAAGATATACAAGATATACAAGATATACAAGATATACAAGATATACAAGATATACAAGATATACAAGATATACAAGATATACAAGATATACAAGATATACAAGATATACAAGATATACAAGATATACAAGATATACAAGATATACAAGATATACAAGATATACAAGATATACAAGATATACAAGATATACAAGATATACAAGATATACAAGATATACAAGATATACAAGATATACAAGATATACAAGATATACAAGATATACAAGATATACAAGATATACAAGATATACAAGATATACAAGATATACAAGATATACAAGATATACAAGATATACAAGATATACAAGATATACAAGATATACAAGATATACAAGATATACAAGATATACAAGATATACAAGATATACAAGATATACAAGATATACAAGATGTACACAAACACTATTCCGTCTCAACCAAACATGCAGAATCCTTGCTTAAAAATGAAAAATGATAAATTACATAAAAAGGTCTAATCAAATGACGAAAACATAAAAATTAAACTAAAAATCAAAAATGTTCTTAAATGTCTCTACTTCTGCAAGAATCCCAAATAACCGTAAATATCCAAATATCAACCGACTGTCCCAGGACAACCAGTACTGGTAACCTTTTCTCCAACTTCCATCTCCTCTGGCACAAACGAAAACACACTTTCGGCAGGATTTCCAGTGAAAGAGAACCGTTTAGCTGTGTAGTACTGTTCACGACAGGATCCCGTCAACTTATTCTCATACAAAACCTCTCCACCGATCTTTATTTTCACAACTCCGTTGTTGATGGAAACTGCCCAAAGGGTTGGCACTACTCTGTTACATTTCTTCTTTAAAGCGGCGGGTGTGGCACATGATATGCAACCTGTCAGGAAAATGCCTCGTTTATTCCACTGGAATTGTCCGAGTTCGTTCCCGACTTCGTCATAAAACAGGATGGGTACATATCGGCTGTGGTTAAGGATAGAGCTGACAGCAATGCCGTTCTCAGAGTTGAAGAGATCTTGTTTCACAGTACAGCCCAAGTGGGAGCAGTAGCCACACTGGGGGGTCCAACAGTCACAGGTGGTGTAGTTCGCGTAGATAACTGGTGGGAATTATAGTTATTACTACATATTCTAATATTTTCGCGGTTTCTATATTTAATTTATTATTTAGTTATTTGTTTATGCAATCATGAGTTACAGCCGCTTCATTTTTGCTTTAATAGTTATATCTTTAGGGAGAGGAGCTCTATGATCCTACAGTTAAAATGTTGTTAATCACACTGAGCAGTATATCTCACCTGGACAGACTTGTTCATTACAAGGCCGGTGTTCCTCCGCATCACCCACGCAGTCATCTCCTCCGTACTCTGGTGCAGGGTTGGTGCAGGTTCTAGTTAGGGTCTGGGTCCCACCTCCACATTCTTGAGAGCATTCCGACCAATCACCGTCGTCTGTCCAGCCTCCGTGCACTGGATTTTGGTAGAGTCAAGTTTCTTAATTTTGATTTTAGTCATTTCTTTTGTTGTGTTGACGAGCAGATTTGCTACATAACTTCAGGATTACAGAGTTATGACGTTTAAGGTTGGGGCGTATGGGCGCGCGAAGAAAAATTTCTTTTGAAACGTTTCCCCATCAGTGTCAGTCTGACAACTTTTTGGGGTGTTTCCTGGGACTATAATAAACAACACATTGCTGAAAAGAAACCTTTGTTAAAAATTTTTTTCTCAGATGGCCCTATAAATTTCAATTGTTGCCCTAACTAGAGGTCTAGGCAAGGTTCGTAAATAACTGTCATGGTCCCACACGATCAATTAAACAGGCATGTTGTGCTCCGTGCAGTTGTTCTGCAGTTGTGCAGTTGTTCTGCAGAACCAGCTTGGAATTTATTAAACCATCCTAGTGCATTTCCAGCTCTTTAGTTCACTATATCCATTTCTACAGAATATCAACTGGATTGTAACGACGATGAACTAATGTCAGAGCACGTTATGATACTCTAAGATGATGTCGGAATAAGTTAAGATGCTCCTAGATGATACCGGAAACGTGTAAGAATTGAAACTTAACCGGGAGTCACGCTCAATGTTATTTGCATTTATGTGGAACCGCACCGCGTATATCACCGCGTTAACGTTTGAATCTCATAAACACATTTGTTGAATATTCCCATGGCCTCTGCAAGAACGTTATTTATATTTCGCAGAGATTGTCAATTTCTTTGATATGGCCGCTTGATCCGCTTTGTTAATTAGCTTTACACTACTTAAGATCATTATGTCAAGGAGCATTAAGGAGCATTAAGAAGCAGACAGCAGTAAGGTGAGGAGCATTAAGGAGCAGTGAGGTGAGGAGAATTTAGCAGTGAGGTATTCTTATCTTTCCCGTTTTAGTTATACTTATAAAGGTCGAAATATAATTTTCCGAATCGTGTCATTTGCTCATGATATTATGAACTTTATTAAGCTGTGTTGTCACTGTTATACCTCAGACCAATTAGTATAATCACTAGAAAATACCTATTTGAGAATTTTGATATGTTATTTTACCAAAACCCATAATCATGGGTAGAGTGGACCGCTGTCAGTGTCTCTCTTTCCCAAACAAAAGGAATTGATATTACTTTGATTGACCGTTCTCAAATGTAAAATGATACCGAGAATGAAATCGGTCGCTCGCTTTTCCCATTCATTCACGGCTTACGAATTGTAATAAGTTTCGATTGATTACATCAATCAGATGCTGTAAAAATCTCTTTGGGTTGCGTTCGGGTCGATACCTAGTATTTCGGGGTAAGGGTGGTAGTTATTAGTATTACTTATTGAATTAGCTGAAGTTTATTGAATCTTCATTGCCGAGTACAGCTGCCTTTGGGTAGTTCTTCTTAATCTATTACAATTGTAAATGAATGGGAAAAGCGAGCGACCGATTTCATTCTCGGTATCATTTTACATTTGAGAACGGTCAATCAAAGTAATATCAATTCCTTTTGTTTGGGAAAGAGAGACACTGACAGCGGTCCACTCTACCCATGATTATGGGTTTTGGTAAAATATCATCTTTTTTTGATTATAATGTCAGGGTACTTTATAAAGTCGAAATATAAACTGATATCTTCATTAATAAGGAGGAAGTTTCAACGATTTCGAAATTTTTCCTTTAAAAACATTTCCTTGTGTTTAGGGAAGCATATCGGTCGATCACTGACTGAATATGCCACTTAATACTCATTCAAGTTGGCATTAAATTCATATATAATGACATTAAACTGTCGTGGCAAAGCAGAATTTGTTGGAAATCACGAATGAGCAAAATTCTCACCTTTCGCACGTGCAAACTTTGAGCAGACGTTGCGTGAGCATCCAATATTGAATCGCCGTAAATTTTTGAATGTAATTGATTTATATATAGCTTGATAAGCATGCAAAGTTTCAAAGTATTTCAAGAAGAACTGTAATCACAACGGCACTCTAAAGTTGACAGAAAATGACGAAAACAGCAATTTTCAGTGATTTTAGCGATTTTCTATCAATTTGGGCGTGTCCCAACGTGTGCAACTTTTCGATTTTCAACTTTAAAACTAGCCTAATGCACAATTTATACCTATAGGAAGCAGAACTGAGCTCCACAATCTAAGGCATGGCCCAACACCAGAGAATACTAAATCGCAAATTTGACGTTTTTATAAAATAATTCTTCAAAAAAGCACAAACTTCAATGACGAATATCTTTATGAAGGAGCAAGCTAGAAAAACTTTCCGGTAGATTTTCAGAATGCTTGAACAATTATCTAAGGTGAAAATTTCCTCAGATTTTGAATAAAATTACTCCTTAATGGTTTAAAATTAATTTTAAAAGTTATTGCTTTGTCAAAAATCAAGTTTTAAAAATGGTTAACTTGATGACGTCATCAAGGGGTGTTTATGACGGCATATAATTTTATTATACAATGTAAACTAAAGTATAAACAATTATTTGCAAAACCTGTGGTCGGAAATGGCTGTATCTTTTATACTTTTGAATTTATGGACAATTAAATACAGGCTACAATTGACTGGCAAAGCGTCTATCCCTGAATATATGGATTAAACAGGATTAAACAAACAACAAGGATTAAACATGAAATTACCAGAGAGAACACTAACGGACTCGTCTTGGCTATACAAGGATGAATAAATAAATCAATAAATAAAATTATTAAAACTGAATCATTTAAAAATTATTAAAATTTAACCGTTTACAATTTCACGAAAATAAAAGAAGATCGTCTATAATAATTTAAGGTAATACAGTAAATAAAGTTCGAGTACGAGGATTAGGACTTATTTTTAGGATTTCGAAGGTTTGAAGAGTCTGTTAGGTATTTCCCGAATTCTTTTGTGTGACAAGAGTTCATTATGGTCCTATACTCTTTTAGCATTACAAGGCTTTTCAGGTTATCAGAAAGCTTTGAGCGGAGGGAGTGGTATCCAGGGCATTCAGTTATGACATGATCCTCAGTTTCTAGGATAGGTGTTTCAAAGAAAGGTAGCTCTTCGAAAAAGCGAATGACGTCTGTGTCTGGAGAGCAGCAAAAACGACACGTTTTCAATGCTGTGTTGTATCGATCACTAGTATATCGACCTTTCTCTACTCTCAGATCGTGACTGCTAGAGCGAAGTTTAGCAATGTTAGCTCTCTTAAGCCTGCACGGAATCTGTAAGTACTGTTCTTCACCAAACTCAGGTTTGACCGCGGTGTAGAATGACATCTTCGGCTGGTTGTGAAGATCCTTTTTCCAGTGGTTCACAAAGGTTTCGTGTATGTGCTCACGTGCTGCAAGAGCGGGGTGTAGGTTTGGTTTAGCGGAGGTGCTCATCTTGATGATAGTGGACCAAGTGTCATACCAGGTAAGGTTCAGTTGTTTCTGCTCCTGAAATGTATGGTGCAGAAGTGTGTTCACGTTACCTACTACCGCTTGTGATGCTCTATAGAAGTAGGCAATACATTGAGGGAGGACGGTCACTGTCCAGGGGGTTCTTCCTGTGTCGCCGTAACAGAAGTTGTTATTTGCCTTTTTGTGGACACCCAATATCCATTTAAGAATTTTTAGGTGAGTAGATTCGAGAGCATCTTTTGCTGCTGCTTTTGGGAGACTCACTTCTTGGTTTTTTGAGAGAATGGCTTTCGCGATGTTGGTCGATGGCAGCCAAACAGGGCATCCGTATGTAGCTGCTGGCTTGACTAAGCTATCGATGAGTTTTAGCATCGTGCTAGTGGAGAGTGCTCTCGTGTCAATAATTCGTCTCATAGAGAAGAACGAGCGTAGAGCTTTTTTCCTAAGCTCGTCGATTGCTTGTTTGAAGGAACCGTTCAGAGAGAATTGGATTCCCAGGTAGCAGTATTTTCTTACTGGTGCGATGTCCAAGTTTCCTAGCTTAAATCCGTAAGCACATTTGAGTATTCGTGAGCTTGTGTTAAATACCATCACACTGGTTTTGTTGATGTTCACAGACAACTCCCACTTTACGGCATAGTCATGCAAGCAGTTCAGCAGTTTCTGTAAGCTGTCCGCATCCAGCGCTAAGAGGACCAAGTCATCTGCCCAAAGGAGGTGGCTTACTTTAACACCGTTTAGAAGAGGTACATCCAATTCCTCAATTTGTTCCAGCCTGATGGAGAGCTCGTGGATATAAAGTTTGAAGAGCTCAGGGGACATTGGATGCCCTTGTTCTGTACCGATCGTGACGTCAATGGCTGCGGAGAGCTTTTGGATCAGCTTGACTCGGGTTGAAGAGTTGTTGTACATGTGACTGATGCATTCGAAGAATTTGCCTGCTATTCCCATGTTGCTCAACTTGAACAGAAGTGCTTCCCTACATACACTATCGAAAGCCTTGCGATAGTCAACAAAGCATGCGAATAGTCGCTTCTTCTCTTTCTTGGCGTATTTCTCTATGACTGTATTTAGGGTGAGTATGTGGTCATTACATTGGGCTCCACTCCTGAATCCAAGTTGATAGGGTCGGTCAGGACAGGCTCTTTCTCTGAATTCGATTAACCGTTTGAGGAGTAGATTCGAAAAGAGTTTACCGAGACAGCTCCCAATTGTTATGGCCCGATAGTTATCAGGGTTTTGCCGGTCACCCTTCCTATGGAGGGGAGTTGTGATGGAGTTGTTCCAGGGGTAAGTTCCATGCTGGAGGCAGGAGTTGAAGAGTTTTACCACGACGAGTTGGAGTTTCTCGTTGGAGTTTTTCAACATTTCGTTGGATATCAGATCATCGGACACACTCTTATTGTTTTTGAGTTTTTTAGTTGCATCTTTGATTTCCTGTAACGTGAAGTCGCGATTCAGTTCATCGACCAGTTCCTTGGTGAGCTGCGAGTTGTTGGACAATGGAGTAGGGGTGACATCGTCCCTTGAGTGATCGTTCCTACCACACTTCCGGTTGTAGAGATCATTAAAGAATTTGTGGAAGAGGATGAGATC